AGGGGCCCCATTTGAGCCGCATACTATAGGCCGGGAATACCATATTGCATGCCCACGAGCCAGAAAACTAGAACCACTGGTCAGCACTTCAGGTGACCTATGCCGCTTGGCCTCGCTGCAATTGCAGAATCAATAACCCATCTGTTGCCATGACAAGACGTCTCAACTCAAGGGTCTTTTCTCTGGTTCGAGCGGACCAATGACCGAGAATACCGCAAGACTCCTCCTGGCTGGGTCAGGGAAGCTCGGCCCCTAATCCTCAATGCCGCAGCACCAGTCGATCCGCACGGACAGTTGACAGCAGCTCAAGTTCATGCGGTCTGCAGTTCGTCCGTCCCCAGCTAAAGGGACCGCGCTTACGGACCGACCTCTTGCTTTATGACATGTGTGCCTACTTTCACACAACGCTTGTATTGTACACCACCTAGGTAGGGCCACGCGGGGTCAAGCCGCTCATCAGCGTTCGCATAATATGGTCATTGTGGGTGGTTCATCCTCTTTGCCGATCGCTTGTTGTTCCTCTGCGGGAAAACCCCGTCCTGAGTCGGGATTTCTGCTGCTAATCTGCACATCTTGTTGAAGTTGGGACGAATCCAGGGTCTACCAGTGTCTCGGGTATAATTAGATCCCACCTTTCTCAAGATCCGAGAGGAGCATACCCTATCTTAAGTTGTTCCATCCATGCATACATTACATACATCGTCTCCCGGGTTTTGGAATCTAGTGTGGAGACGGGGGGAGCACGAAGTCCGCTATAATATAACATCCCTGACAATATGTGAATCGGTCGTGGGTGCATACTGCTCAATGGTCAAAGCGGTTCATCTTGTCTTGTTTTCAGACGGCATCAGATGATCGCCGAGAGCCCTGCTTGTCGAAAAGGTAGGACAGAAAAAGTTCAGTCCAATCCTCAAACGTGCTCGTGCAAGGCTGTACATAAAACGACAAGATCTATGCGAATATCTACCCATTTGGAACTCAATTTGACACGCCGTTTACGTACTCGCCCAGTACGGTGATCATAAAATTAGCAACATTCTCTGCGGTAACGAAGACAAGACAAGAATTCCAGCTTGCACTCTTCACATGCATCTACTTTTCACCATGTCAAAAAGTTCAAACGTAGAGGTGCATGCTCGGCAGCCCAAAGCATCAAGAAAGCCGGACGTCATGTCATGTACGGTAGTAATGTATAGAGATCCAGACGATTGGGATGCGCCGCGCCCGGCCTCGAGTTCCCCGCGAATCTCGGATCGCTGAAGCACCGGCAGGGTCTGGCGCCCGCCGAACCTTTCTGCATGCAGGTGAACTATCATCTTACTCAACCCACACCTACACAACGCCGAACCCAAAAGGGCGAGCGTTAGGTAGAGGGGCCGGAAAAAAAAAATTGGTGCATAGTAGACCGAGGCTTGGGTGGCATGGAATTGCGGGACATAATTCCAACAGACCATGCCAATGCCACTCGTTGCGACCAGCTGTGACATTGCTGTGTTCAAGGTTCGGCTTTTTGCTTAATACTTCTCTCACACCGCAAGCAATTAACTCATTGGGTCTAGTCGCCCTACATACATAGACAATAGTAGGTAGTTTTCACCTGGCTGGAGGAGCCTATCGCTATAGAGGACAAAAAACGGCCAAAGCATTTATCTCGGATCTCTAGAGCATGGAAGAAGAGTCAGAAACGTCGATACGTAACCACAAGGCTTCATATCCATTTTTCTTCATCTAATTAGATGACGGCCAGTCCGTATTAAGATGCATATCGGCACGAAAGTAGTCTAGTCGCATGCTCCAAAGTGTATACTAGGTCTGAAAGTAAGGTACTATGTCAGACAAGCGATGAAGGATTGATGTAGGTACTAGCTAGCCGTATCCTTTCGGTTGGTGATGGGACTTGTCGTTAGCGATGCAGTAGGCAGATCTCGTTCCCCCTTGAGCCAACCAGGAAAGAGTCTTGGGCCAAGCCCGAAGCGCACACACTCCCTTTTCATATCCACGTACCGCACAAAGTAAGGCTCCTCCCACCTCTTACATGTACATGGCTGTTAAATCGGTAGAGTAGGGTCATGCAGACGCGGAACGTCCAACCTTATCGAGCCCTACCTCAGCTTTTTTTTCTTTCTTGTTCTTTTCTTACTCGCATTATTCCTGTCCGTTCGGCGGATGGGAAAATTTGGTCCCTGTTCTCTCACATAGTGCGTATGACATCTTCATCCTCAATTTCTTCAGCACTCGTTTCTGCATGAGCAGATGACGTCGCCTCGCTACCGCCGGGTTTGAGGGCAAACTACCAGCGACAACTACCCTTTTTGTTCTGTCTTAATTGCTTCGTTCGAATATGCGACATGGGCCTTTCTGCCAATGAGAATGCAATCTCATTGATGTAGTTACCTTGTGGACATTCGAAACAGAGGACACTGACTGACTCTTCTCATCCTTTGATTGGTGGTATCCTCGTATCGCCTACCTGGATACTTTCTCTTCCGCGACGTCTCCAGTAGTGGCCAAATCAAAAACCCACGGTGTCCTTGGGGAGAGCAAAGAGGCTGAAAATGAATATTACAGGATACGCACTTGCATCACATATTGGCCGTGCCTGGTTATACAACTTTGGCACACCCCAGGAAGGCCCAAGCAAGCAAGACAGGCCACCCCGACGCATGTAGGCTCGTAAAATTATACCATTGCCACTGTGTATGACAACTGCCACATGATCAGGACCGTTCAACGGTCGCGACAGGCGAAACCCCCCACTTCCACTTTACCTGCACTCTAAATCATCGTCGTTTGTGAAGGTCTCAATATATAATTCTCCGCTGTGCAAATCTCGACTAACATAGTCCAGATACCATGGTGGGGAACGTGCCCAGGCAGTCAGTATTCACAATCCTTGGTCTTTGGGCGACATGGAACCGGGCCACTGCACAACAGGGTAGGTAACTAAGGAAAAGGTATTGCAGCAAAACCAGGGTGAGCCTGGAAAGAATCCGTTATGATAGAGCAGGTACCTACAACCATACACATGCATGGCATAATCCAAGTCTGTATAGAGGGCCTCTGACAACAGATCATGATCCGGCATACTCTGGTGATCATTCATGCTGGAACGTCGGGTATTTCACACTTTGTACCTAATTATATCAAGTTCATCCGAAGTCGACAAAGGGCAATCAATGTACAATATAAACATTGCCTTTTTTTCTTCTTTTATTCAACGCGGTCATGCGCGGTCTCTAGCTGTTTGGTGATGTTCTCTTTCCTTACTTCTTATTTTGCTCTGCGCGAGTAGGCAGGCAGGTTCGTAATAGGACGGAATAATGCTAGGTAGCAAACTGGGGGGGAGCTTGCTACTGGCTAGGTACTACTGCACATGCTGAATGATTTTACCCATTGGGGGGACGAGGGTCGACCCTGGCACAGCTAGCTAGCAGGTACCTACCTACCTAGCCCAGGCTCGCTCGACCTCCGGCACCCTTGCCCCCACCATCTTTCTCGCTCGCTCTCCCTCTTCTTTCTCTTACCCTCTTCGCACTTAATTTTCAGCACAACCAAGAACTTCCCCCATGCTGCCCCCCAATGGTCCAGGGTATGTGTGTGTGTGTGTGTTCGTGTCTGTGTGTGTAGTAGTCCTCTTCCTCCCTCTCCCTCTTTCTGTCTCTCCCTCTTGTGTGTGTATGTGCATGTGTGTGCCTGTGTGTGTTCTCTCTGTTCTTTCGTTAATCTTATTTCTTCTTTCTTCCCGCTACTCTTCCCCTTGCGATCAACACACCCTGGGTCCTGGGGGGGATAACGTACATATCCACATCCCACCATCATCACCCTCATCATCACCGTGTCCCAGCCCAGCCAAGCCCCATGTTCTGCGTTCGTCCCATGGTCCTCCCCCATGCTGACCAAGTATTGCCTACCTCAGCTAGAGGACATCCATATATAACGCCGGCATCTAGGGTTGTACCTCTTTCCCGTCACCTCCTCTCCTAGCCTAGGTACCAGCCCCATGTCCATGGTGGTGGCCCCTAGCAGCTCACCCAGCGCTGGTGGCAGAGCAGCACCAGTGCCCGTCCCATGGCCAGAGCCAGCGGATCCCAGAGTCTGTGCAGCGGTGATGCGCCCCATGAGCCCATGCACCTCCGTCATCCTTGTCGAGTCCATATTGGGCCAATGTTCTAATAAGTGGCACAAAAACCTCCGTCATCCCACCACGATAGTAGACGAAAGTTTTCGAGCATATTGTCCATCTCGACGCTCCGTCCTAGGTAGCCTCAGCCTGCAACTAAGTTTAGGGGGGAGGCAGAAGACAAAGCTGTTGTATCGTTGTTGTCGTCGTCGTCGTCGTCGCCCGTCGTCGTCCTTTACCTCTCCACACAGGGACGACCAATACCGGATCCGAATTACTGATTAGGCCAGCCAGCTTGCCGTCTGTCCCACGGAGAGAAGGTCCCGCAAGCGCCTGCAGCTCTCCGGTGCTATTCTTCCAGTTCCCCAAGATACAACGAGATCGCTTACCGTGTCACTGCTTCCTGGCTTCCTTCGGACGAGTATCACCAACTACAACCTGTCCCACGTTTGTCTTTTGAGACCCGCCTCTTCCTGAGTCGCTGGGCTGTCCACGTTGTCTACCGTCAGCGACCTCCCATCGATTTTGCCTGCCGACTAGTTGCACGTCTGGATATACAGTAAATAGTCGTCTTGAAGAACCCAGAAGGATACCTCCACCATCAGCTCGGTCTCTCGCTTATACAATCGGGTGGAAAGGAACGCCATCCTCTGGATCCAACCAAGACTGATTTGTTAGAAAGCACCCGTCAATTACTGCGGGGGTTTGATTGTCCATCTCGGGATTCGCTTGATTGATGCTGGCATGCAACTTGTTGCCGAAGAACGAAGCTGGATCTGTACGAAGCTGGTCTGTCCTGTGAAATCCTGGATATCCGATCGTTGTGAGGGCATCGAGTGCACGATCTTGCAGCCCTCTACAGTTCCGACGAACAGAATCCATGCAAGCCTACCATCGCCCAGGTGAACGACCTTACGTACGACTTGGCCATCGCCGAGGCGCATCCGATTTGGCGCGCTTCATCGGTGACCTGAGCTGGGCTGACACAGAGACGGAGTGCCGCCTTGGCACAAGGGCATATCCCTCTCCGCCCATGTCAGGATCTCCACCACTCCCGCCCAAGCCATTTCAAGAGGCCGGTGAGCGAGGCCTGAGCAGTTTTCAGGCAACTTCTCATGATGCATATCGTCCAACCTTGACTGCTCAAGGGGCCGGTATCCGAGGAGTACCCATTCCGCCTATTTCAACGCAGTCGCATCTGCCCCCGCCTCTGCCCGCAGTCCCCGGAGGCCGTCCGTATCCTCCAGAGATAATAGAACGACCGGAATATCCGGTAGGCCGCCCGGAAGAATCTCAGAGTCGGCCCTCAGCATTGCCGCCCTTGTCCACGTCCCAGCAGTCCCATTATGCCCTGCCTCCGAGGCAAGGGCCAATGCCAACGACATCGCCATACTCGTTGCCTCCAAGACCGCAGACAGCAGATGCGGCCGCTTATACTTCCCCTAGGTCACAGCGAAAGACAAAAGGGCACGTTGCGTCAGCATGCGTGCCATGCAAGCGAGCACACCTTAGGTAAGATCCCCAAAGCCTCTTGGGGAGCAATCATGGACGTATGATACTAACTCTCAATAGATGTGACGGTACGTAGTTTCAGCAAACACTTTCCTCGAAATCATGAAAACCTGGTTTTGTTCTGTATCATACTACCCTTTTTGGAGCTCATCATTTCTCGAGAGCGGCGGGCAAACGAATTCGGCACGATAAACAGGCCTTGAGAGGAACCGCCGCTTCCGCATGGTCGGAAAAGAGACCTCACCTTGTGCCATTTGGTGGTTGTGGCGAACATCGCCAAGTGACGATGCCCCTATCCAGAAGCCACCTTCATCTTGCTTACCCCGTCACTTGAAAACTTCTGCTGGCTTGCAAAAGAGTAACAATTCAATAATCCACACTTGTGAATACAATTCATCAGCTCCTCAGCAAGGTAGCCGTCAAAGTTGACTCGGACATTGCTCTGATTTCAAATCACTTGATCTTTTAGCAGCTGGCTAACAAAAATCCACAAATAGCTCAAAGACCATGCTCGAGATGTCTTAGCAATGGCAAGGAGGATGCGTGTATCGACGTTCAACATAAGAAGCGTGGTCGTCCGCGCTTACGAGAGGATAGGGAAGCCAGGTTCGACTCGTCCCGATTCCAGCAACACCCGGCAGATCCAATGGCAAGACGGCCCGTCTCTCTATATGCGCCTGTCAGCGCACCGGCAGTGGCCTTTGATGATCCGCTGCGAAGGAGTCAGTCGTACAGGGTACTCAAATCACAGCCGACAGACCCCATAGCACCACGGTACCTCGAGCGTGGCTCCATTGGAGATGCGCACATATATCCGCCGCCACTGATGACACCTCCGAGGCCACTGGAGCCAATAGCATTCTTGTCGGTTGACTTTGAGATTGTTAGAGTATCGAATCCTTTTGTGGATGCCATTGGTGCTGGTATGGCACAGGCCATCCTGGGGAGAAAACTCGAGGAGATCATGGCGCCGCAAGAGAAAGACAGGGTGGCTGCTTTGCAGCGAGCTCTGCAGACGGAACAAGGGCGGAAGGAGCCAAACTATCTGCCGCCTATTTTTGGCAGACAGGAGTTGGAACGCATTGTGCATTCAATGCCACTCGACGCCGAATACATCTCGAGGCTCCCACTTGAAAGGCAGGATGCCTTCACCTTCCTGACGGCTCAAAGACAGGGTCGCCAATTCTCGGTTCGCGTTGGACTCGCCAAGGAAGACTCGATTTACTTCGTTGTTTTAGTCCTCAACATCCAACCGCCCTTGTATTCACATCCGTCACCGTCTCTGCATGCCCGAGAAGTTCCTTATCCATATCATCAACAGGTACTCGCTCCCCAGCTTACACCTGTGTCAGCATCCTTTGACATGGGCCGACCCAAGCTTGGTGACCTTCGAGAACAACGTGATGACATGATGCCTCGGCGGCAGACAATTTCAGGAACACAAGGGCAGGCCGGTCCGAGTCCTGGTGTGAGCCCGAACATTCCCTCATACGCTCCTTCTTCGGGTCGTATTGAACATCCGGCTGGCCCTTCTTATCAGATACCTCGAAGCGAGTTGCCACCTGCACGTCCGCCGGTGCAGCCAGGATACCAGCTTCCCCCTATCCGAAGCCAAGGACCCGTGCCCGACGCCCGTCCTGGGCGAGTCGACATTGGCGGCCTGATAGATCAACCCGAAACGTCGCGTCGTGGGCCTTAGCGGGAATTGAGAAATCCTCTCCTGGCCAAGACTGTCTGAAGATGGTCTCGAGTAATCGACAGCCTCTCAGGGGCTACATCGTCTTTTATCCTTTTCAGTTGAGCTCGTAATCGAGCTACTAATATCTCTATTGAACGTACTTGGTTGTAATTGTACGCGAGATACCCCTTCTTGATTTTTAGTTGTGGCATGGAGATACCTCTGTACAACGTTGATGCATCATTCTGCTTTGCATACGCCTGGCCTGTGGTTCATTTCTTCGTCTGCCGCCTTGGTGCGGCGGTGTCGTCTGCATTGGTGGATATTGAAAAGGGGTTCGTCCTCGATAGTATAATTTCTGGCGGCCAGTCATCATTATTGGCGTTGGAGGTCCACTCGTTCTTTGTTTTATGCATATCCCCAGGAGATGGGAAGATGGGAGCAGACTTGGTATTGCTGAGGATTGACGATGGTTTTCCTCGTTTAGCCCGGAGAACTCTGTCGGCATGAGAAATGCCAAGGATGAACTTATGAGGGGTTGTAATATCGATATGAAGTCGTGCTATTCAAATATCTGCCCCGTTGTGCCGTAGTGACTTGGAAACGTGACATGACCAAACTTGTTTAACGCCTCTGTTGGTAGTCTCACTCTCTCCGAGTGCTGGGAGGATGGCTATTAGTTTAGCACTTGAATTCATCCAGGTTTCATTTTCCAGGCCGGAAGATATCGAGTGCGTCTCGATCCATAGTCGGATCATATTTGGGGTTTCGCCGAGCCGCCCTTGTCACCAAGTATTGAAAGGCGTTTCGTGTTCATTGCAAAAAAGGTTCGCATCATGCTCTTTGCATGGAAAGTTTGTTGTAGTCCAGACAGAAAACCTATCCCGTAATATGTAGTTGCCGGCGATCCTGTGTCAGCCACAAAGTCCAGCTAATACCAAACGTCGTGGTACAAGGTGGGGTTGTTGGGAGCACCGGTGGTGGCCAGCTGAGTTTGCGAGCATGCATACCTAGGTAATACATGCTGCATAAGATGCAGACTGTATTGCAGAGGGTGGCTTATGGTGGCGCTCGTGACTATGCTTTCATGATGTCTGATTCTTTTGAGATTGTTGAATTTCTTTGATTTATTATGAAATGATTAATAGAAGAAGGAAGGGAAAACGGGAGGGAGAGATGGGTGAAATAAGAGACACTCTCGGTGGGTGACGGAATGGGCTCCCGACAATAGTAACAGGCCAGGCCCGGGGAAGACAAACTACATTTGGATTTGGTAGGGACTAGGTAGGTTATGTATTTGTAATTTTATCTGGGTATGGCCGGCTTGAAATGGGCGCAACCGACGTGGAAAAGGGAATGAAGAGAAGAAGATGAGAGAAAGAAAGACTGAAGGAAAAGGTCGCAACGGCTTGCCAAGGGGCGGCCCCCCGCCACGCGAGTTTCATACGAAGAGCGACGAATAAGTTTATAGTTGAACTCAGATATAAGGCTCGCGCCGTAACGTGTTGTAGTCGGTAGGTAGCGCAGCCACCGGTAGTCGACTCTATTATGGGGGAGGAGGGACATTGTTGTCTTGACCTTTAATCTGTAGATGCAGGCTTGTTGCAATTTCCGTTCCACGCATTTGAGGTTGTACTTGCGGTTCGTCGTTCCCCTTCATCAACAAGAGCTATGAATCTCTGTTTTGTGCAATGAAAGAATTCCCGTTCGAAAAACAAGAGTGGCTCACATCATTTCTTCTTCTCTTCTTTCCCAGTCTCATTTACGGTGAGAGGGGAAGAACAAAAAAGAGGAGAGAAGAGAGAGAATGTCGGCCGTGGTGTAGGGCCTTTTCTTGGTAGACGGTGAGAATAGACTGGGATCAATGACTTGAAGACCCCCCCTGTGTTTGTTTCTCTCGTTTTGTTTCGTTTCCTCCTGCATTTCCCCCAATGCTATCCAATCCCTTGCCCTGTCTGACCATGCAAAAGTACACGCAAGCTGTAAGTAAGCCTGTGGCTCTCGTGCCTGGATCGGGACCTTCACCTCGCCTACCTACATTTGTAGACCCCCGCAATTCGTCCCTTGAGAGTGGGATATTACCTTTTGCTCTTATCTTCCGTGGCCGGCACTTTTACTCATTTATAAAAGGATCGAGTATAGGTCAAGGCTGGTTAGCCAAGCAGATGTGACAACGGGTGCTCGCTTCGTCGTTGCATTTGCGGTCGCATTGCGTTTTGTTGCTCTCTGTAGGTGTAGGTAGGTAATAAGCGTGATTGACATTGGGGGGTTGCACTACCTTGATTTTTTCTAGAGGGGCAATAACGCACACTAGGCGCTGGGACTTGGGTGGGATTGGATCTAGGCGAGGGGGGGCCGAGGTGTGCAAGGGTTTCGGGGAATTATCACCCCTGGTCCCCCCCCCCAATCGAACCAGGCTCAGTTGGTAAAGTTGAGATGAAGCCAGCACACGATGTTTGCAAAGCCATATACGAATATTTACTACTACGTACTACAGCGTATGTTTGGACGAAACACGGATGAGAACTATCGAAAACGGCACCCTCGGCTGGGCATGAATCATTTCTTCCCTGTCGTGTGTATCATGCATCAAATGTTCAGCTTTGGCCAGCTTTTCTCACCTCCCCAAAAGAGCATCGCGACTTGCGAAAATCTCCCAAGATTGCAGGTGGTCTCTCTGACAGGCATCCATACCTACCTGGTTACCAAGATTCCAAGATATCATGACATGTCGAGCATACCCGACTCTTCTTGGCACTGCTTTGAGGACATGGGAGTCAGGGTCTGTCTGCCTGACTCTTTTTTTTTTTTATTTTAACAAATCACCCAGATCATAGCAGCATACCATCTATCAAAGTGAACTACCATGATGTATCCTTTTCTATATATGTAAAGTTGGATCTGACGACGAATGGGAGAAGCGCTGGATGAGATGGGCTTCCATATCTCGAGAATGAAGGACAATTCGAAATACCCGTGGACACAGTACCACCCAAGGTCATTTACATACATGCGCACGCAGCCTTTAGCACCTGGGCAGGTATGGGTTTGGCATGTCAGCGCATGAACCCGGCTCCCGACAGCCGTGCGTTCCCTAACGATGTACTGTAGGTGCTACCTACTGTGTATATTGCAATGTAGGTTAGGAGTTTAGCGACGTGGAAAAGAGGGGAGCCGGGAGCCGGGAGTGTTCCGAAAGGTTACCACTTACCAACCTACCATTGTGCTACCTGCACCTATCCATCATGGTCTGAATTCCATTAAACTTTCTAGTGTTCCCATCCTCAACCTGACCTTCTGACAACCTCAATCCCGGTACTACGTACCTACTATTTCACGAGCTGTCCGCCAAATTCGATAGCCAATGTAACGGAAAGAAAATTTGGCCGCATTTCCCCGCCAGCTCGAGAAAAACGAGAGCCCGGGGGCGAGAAAGAAAGCGAGATTGGTAAAGAATGGCAACATTCGGCTCGTCTCGCCCGGCCTTTCGGTTGCATAATGGCCTTGGCCAGCACGCTTTCTTGCAATAGCAATGCAACCGCGAAAGGAAATGGCACACCTCTATCCAAGTCGTACCCGAAACAAATCACAAGGTCATTATGTTGACGCCCATTTCTTTTGTATCGAGCTACGTGTGATTCGTTCGATGTTCAGCCGACCAAGGTCCATCTCGCAGTCAAAACGTGCGAATTTCTCTCAAGCGAGTCCGTGATATAACATCATATCATGGCATTTGCATCGATTGTGGTACCTAGTGTCCACCTGACGGTCTTTCTTAGGCCCCTGGGCAAAACAGAAACTTTGAAGCTAATCACTTTCCTGAACGTCACTCCCTGTCACTCGGCCGACTTGAAGGCCCAGCTTCGCCTTGCTTTGCGCGATATGGAAGCTCCACCTTCCTCTTCTTGCTGTCGCTGGCCATCTCGTCAAGCTCTACCGATAATTTGTCGCGGCTGCGCGGGCTGTCATCGTCAAGGATCTCTTCAACACGTCTCGGTCTCTTTCTGTGTGGTATCAAATCTGATGGCCACTGAGAGAATAGGAATTAGCTATCTGTCTTGGAGGGTGTGTGGAAAGAGCGAGGAATAGTTGGACGTCGATTCTTGCCAGCCAGACTGCTCTTTTTGCAAAAACAAAAAAGAACAAAAGCTTGTGTCTGCTCCTGGCAAAGAATGGAAAAAGCAAGAAGAAGAAATGGAAAAGTGCTTACCGGTGGCGGCGTGAGGCCGCGGAGAAGACTGTCACTGCAATTAAGAATTTCGTCGGTAGACGAGATTGGCTGATCATGTCCACGTTGGAAATCCTGGACGCGGCGGACCGCAGCGCGTGTGAGATGCTTTGACCGGGGGCTTTCACTCATGGAGCTGACATAATCTCAGTACTGTCCTTTCTTTCTTTTTCGCTCCCTTTTTTTCGTCAATTTGTGTAATGACTTACTTTTGGCTTCCTGGAATTACAGCCGTCGAGTTGCCTCCATCGTCGCCGTCGCCATTGCCGCTCAAAGGTTCTGGCGAACCTCGAACTGCCTTTGTCGACCCGTCGCCCTCCTCCACTGTTTGAACCAGACTCCGATCCCGTGACTGGGACGACATGTGGCTGGAATGGCTGGAATTGATCAAACGGTCTGGTATTTGCTCTTGCTATACCATGCTGTGATGTCTGACACCATTGCTTATATGATGCACTGATTACAAGCTCAGACTTGAGGCCGCCCACACAAACCATGAACTTGCAAAACTTGAATACTTCCATCCCAAGTGGTCACGCACATGATGTAGGTGGCAAATTTTGCAGTGAAACTATCTACAGACTAACTGAAGAATGCCTCGATAACTGCGCCTTGGTGTTGGTTCACCCCCCCAGTCGTAGGTTGAACCCCCAAGTTCAGCCTCGCTACCAGACAGGGCCCCAGTCAGCGCGGCACGAGATCTATATTCTTCCTACTTATAATGAGTGAACTTCATACAATACTTCGAGGGTACAACATCTAACGGCAGAGTTAGTAAAGCTCTCTGTCTCTATGTGTCCAATATCGAGGGCAACAATGGCGCAGATATTTTACGGGTGCAATTATCAGGTGAATCTGCTTACAGCAAGGTCAAGATATCATTCAAGATTGCTTAGAGCATTTTGCCGAACTTTATTGAGTTTATGCCATTATTGGTAAGAAAACTGCAGTCATTTTGTATGTGCCTGGTAATGGTCTCTGTAATCAATGATTCCATACTTCTATCCGACTGATCGAAGATGGCTGCTCAGGCAGAATACAAATCCGTCAGCACAATTTTTGTCAAGAACGATAAGTATTCAGAGGGTAGATGAATATCATGCTTGACTGGAGCTCAGGTTGCTTACACGCATCCTCCCCTGCCATGAGTCTTCGCGTTCAGGGCCTCCTGTTTACAGTCAGTGAGGAGGGGACGCTTAATCCGCCATTATAGAATCACACATCGGTCCCGACGCACTTTTTGAATCTCGCTGCTCTCTAAATGTGTGTAAGATTCCCAGGGTCTCGGGCAGTCGTTTCATTATCCATAAGAAAAGGATCGAACTCAAACCCCCCAGCCCTTGGGCTGAGTAGGTCAGCTGTACCGATAAGGCTCTCCCGGCCCCCAAAACAACCCAAGGGGCTGAAAAATAGCCTGCTCGACACCCCCATGTCGCTGCATGAATTCATTGTAAAAAGGCATCTCAACTTGCCCATGGGACTCTTTGCGCCACGACCGTGGGGCCTGGCTCGCTGGGCTGGAGGTCTCCCACACTTCCAACGAGAAAGTGCGACAGTGGTTTTAATACAGCTTCTTCTGATCATGGTTTGTGCCAGGTGCGTCATTGCGACAGTCCAAGGGGATAGTGGAGTGTGATATAGCTTCCTGGAAGTGATGACTTGAGATGAAGAAAGCCTTGAAAACAAAGCATCTGCCTTGAGCTCCTCTGCTGCAGTTTCGCCTAGCTGGCTCACTGGGAAGCATATACGGACACTCAAGGCATATCTTGACCACGCGCCTCCTCATCACTGACCGCCCATGACTTACCAAGCCCAGTTGGACCGCGCAACGATGCAGGATCGACAGCTTCTATTGAACTGACCTCAGTTCTGTGAATGTATACATTGCTGACAATTCTTGTTTCTTTGCAATTATTACGATAATTTGCTCCAAGATGAACATGTGATATAGTAAAGAGTAGCAGGCGGCCCAACTAACATAGTACCTAGAACAGGGTCCCCACTTTCTTTTCCAGCGGCATTGGGCGTAATTGGTTGGGGCTCTTTAGCGCTGCTCATCTAGGTATTCACACTCTATCAATGCAAATGCCCGTCATGTGACCAATGGCACTTCGATCTTTGCGCGTTGGCAGGTACAACCCATAGCTCCCAAAATTTGAAATAATTGCATCGACGGACTTTCCAAGTCTAAATCATCTTGAATTTCTTCTTGTTGGGCAATACCAGCCTCTGACTTCAGGCAGATTGGGCGGCGAGAAGACTTGACACGAAAGGTGTGCCTAGGGTTTCTTCTCAGCTTCTGGCGCTATACGCGGGTCGCATCGTTCACATCGGACGTGGCAGCCTCCATCCGAAAGCAAAGACCCTGAGCACATCAAGCGGCACTTGACCATGGAGGAGAGCATGGAAATCGACAGTCCCAGGGGTACCAAAAGGAAGGCGGATGAGGACTTACTGGCCGAAGCTACACCCCGGCGGATCAAGGTGGGCTTCTGATTGCATCTGCCTTGTGAGGCTAGGCTAACCAGACGCGGCTTCGCAGGCCCTGGATCCTGATGTCGTGAACAAGATCGCAGCAGGCGAGATCATTGTGGCGCCTGTACATGCTTTGAAAGAATTGATCGAGAACGCGGTCGATGCTGGATCCACATCACTAGAGGTCCTTGTCAAAGAGGGTGGTCTCAAGTTGCTCCAGATTACCGATAATGGCCACGGCATCGAGGTGAGTGCCTCACTTGCGCAGCGCCAGCACTACGCTCTGACTCAATTCTGTAGAAAGAGGATCTCGAAATCTTATGCGAAAGGTTTACAACGTCAAAACTCAAGAAGTTTGAGGACCTAGGCAGCATCGCCACGTACGGCTTTCGCGGCGAGGCGCTGGCTAGCATCAGTCATATTGCCCACTTGCAGGTGACCACGAAAACAAAGGACTCGAACTGTGCCTGGCGTGCTCATTACGATAGTGGCAAACTGGCACCTGCAAAGCCTGGCCAATCTGCCGAGCCAAAGCCTGTGGCCGGGCGCAATGGCACACAAATCACTGTAGAAGATCTATTCTACAATGTCCCTACACGTCGAAGAGCTTTCCGGTCACCGTCTGAAGAGTACAACAAGATCATTGACATGGTTGGGAGATATGCCATTCACTGCCGGGGTGTTGCATTCTCCTGCAAGAAGCATGGTGATTCAGGAACTTCGATTGCTGTCCAGTCAGGCACATCAACCGTTGACCGCATCCGCCAAATACATGGCGGGAGTGTGGCGAATGAGCTGATCGAATATTCGGTCTCCGATGATCGCTATGGGTTCAAAGCTGAAGGCTTGGCAACCAACGCGAATTACCACATCAAGAAGACAACTCTACTGCTTTTCATTAACCACCGCTCAGTAGAGTCGTCCAACATCAAGAAGGCAGTAGAACAAACATACTCGACTTTCCTTCCCAAAAACGGGCATCCTTTTGTCTACCTCAACCTCGAGATTGATCCGCAGCGCGTCGACGTCAACGTTCACCCTACCAAACGAGAAGTCAACTTTCTCAATGAAGATGAGATCATACAGTCAATTTGCGAAAATATCCGCGACAAACTTGCGGCCGTCGATACTAGTCGCACCTTTTTGACGCAAACTTTGCTGCCTGGTACTGTTCTGCCCAGTGATGCAACTCAGTCTGATGTGGATGGCGCGACTAAGAAATCGGCTGCCAAGGGCAAAGCATCCGCGAGGCCATATGAAAACAACCTGGTGCGCACCGACGCCTCACTCCGAAAGATCACCAGTATGTTCCAGCCTGCGAACAAGGAAGAGTCCGTCGCCGAACACGTGGATGGTATGGAACCAGAGTATGAACATTCGGATCGTGAGGCAGTGGTGTGCCGTTTGACAAGTGTGCGGGACTTGCGGGCAGAAGTACGCGATGATATGCACCATTCTCTTACAGAAATCTTTGCAGGCCATACCTTTGTCGGAATCGTCGACGAGAGGCGACGACTGGCAGCGATGCAGGGAGGCGTCAAACTCTATCTGGTTGACTATGGCCGTGCTTGCTACGAGTATTTTTACCAAGTGGGTTTAACAGATTTTGGCAATTTTGGCACGATTCGCTTCCAGCCATCACTGGACCTGCGTGAGATCTTGTCCATCGCCGCCGAACGCGAGAAATCTACTGCCGCAGAGGGCGAATTGGCCGAGGATGACGACTTTGACGTCGAGGACGTGGTAAATACTGTAGCAGAACAGTTGATCGAGCGACGGGAAATGCTTCTCGAGTACTTCAGCTTCGAGGTAACGCCGGACGGTGAACTGCTCAGCATACCACTTCTTGCCAAGGGCTATACTCCGTCCATGGCCAAGCTGCCGCAGTTTCTGCTTCGACTTGGACCTCATGTTGATTGGAACGATGAACGTGGCTGTTTTGACACGTTTTTGAGAGAACTGGCAAGCTTTTATGTTCCTGAGCAGCTTCCGCCCCTGCCAGGAAATGCTGAGCAGCTCGAGGCCGAAAACATAGCCGAAGAGGTCAAAGCAAGGCGAGCACATGTACGGCGTGCTGTGGAGCATGTGTTTTTCCCAGCTTTCAAGGCTAGGCTGGTTGCTACGAAATCACTCATGAAGGGAGGTGTTTTGGAGTTGGCAGATTTGAAAGGTCTATATCGAGTCTTTGAGCGATGTTGAGGGATATGCCAGGGGTCTTCGAAGTGAGGCAATCGTCGAATCATGTAAAGACAACGTTGCTGGGTGTTGCAAGTGGCTCATAGACAAAAAGCAGAGCTATAGTTGCTAAGACTAGCCAAAGTTACGAGGTCGGCCGGTCATGCACCTTCATATGTTCACATCACATGGGACTTTGCACATCTGTGCCAGAACTTACCTCGTTCTTGTCAACAGCCAATCTGATGGGTGTTATGTGGATATGTCGAAGCAGGGACAATGTAGAGAACATGGCATGGGTCCGATCCAGGCGTCGGCTTTCTGAGGGTGTTAGGGTCATAAACAAGTTGGGTCCTATCAAATGAACTCACAGCTCTGGATTTGATATCCTTGTTCGCGTAATGGCTAATGTCATGTCTGGGTTGAAGCCTTCGAGTGGCCACGGGCGGCCCATTCTTTCTGCCTGAACCAAGTGTCAATAACAATGTCTAAGCATTTGCCTCCATAAAGAAGTTGATGATCCCAGCTCACCCAATGGGCTTGAGCTTCTTCTTCTTCTTCTTCCCACCATCCTCGCCGCCGCCGCCGCCACTCTTTCCTTTTGCAAACTGACGCCACGAGTCTATCCTCTGATCCCTGGTGGCCTCCCAATCCTGCTCATGCTGGCGCTTGCGCTTGCGCTCGTCGATCTCCTCCTCCTGCCGCTTTTGCTCGCGGCCCTCCTCCTGCATCTGGGCCTTGATCTGGCGGCGGCGGCGGTGCTCGTCGTCAATGAGGACCTCACGGGTCTTGATGCGCCAGCGGGCGGCAAACTCGGGCGTCTTGAGCTCGGGGGAGTCGACGGTCCATTTGTTCTCGCGAATGAGCAGCATGCGGGCGTCGGCAATGGACTCGTCGAGGCGGGCGCGGTGCTTCTCGTCCATGAGTTCCGTCTGCGCCTTCTTGAGTCTGTCAAAGGCGTCGGGCGCCTGGGGATTCCGCGTCTTGTCCGGGTGAATAAGCAGCGACTTCTTGCGGTACGTGTTCTTGATGTCCGACTCGGGCACGCCTGGGTTCAGGTCCAGTACGGCGTAGGCGTCGAGCCGGAACGCCTTGAGGATTCGGTCGATCTCTGCATCCTAGATGCAAACACAAGGTTAGAGGCTGTATATTCTATGCAGGGGCTTATATATAGATTGCGAGAGTATGCGAGAAGATAATCATTGCTCCTCAGATGTCGCGTGAGACAGTCTGGGTGGAGGGGGAAATGACGGTACTTGCCTTTGCGAACTCCTTCTCTTCTGAAGCCAGAAGATCGAGGGCATCCTTATCCTCTTGAACAAGATCCTTGGCATCCTTGGGTATATCGGCGGCCATATTTGCGGACTTCAGCGCGGACTGGAGATGAAGGAGAGTCAACGAGAGATTGGCGACGGGACGGGGAGGGATATGAGTCTAAGGTTTAAGTCAAAAGACTAGGAAGAGCGTTGATCTGTTTCTGGGGTCGCTGATGGGGCGGCGAAGGAAGGGGTTAGCGGCGTTAATGCAGCCGGATAAGCATCCCTGTTATAATGGGGAAGCTGCGATAAGCCCCACCAGCTCAGAAAAAAAGTTGTACGTAGCAGCAAGCCAAAGCCGGGACGCCAGAAAAGTCACTGCAAGAATCTGTCTTGTACTTCCATCACCACTCCGTCAACAAAGACGGCTCACAATTTTCGACCATGCCTCGACGCGCTGCCTCGCCGGCACAATCCGAGGCTGAAGTCGACATTCTTGGCTCCCTGTTCACCGACGGCGCTGACGACGACAAGACTGGTTTCCAGGCGAGCCACGCAAAGGATGGGTTTGGCTTCGACGCGGGTGGAATCCTTGACGCCGATGAAGATGGCGACGACGCGGACGGAGACGAGGCCTTTATTGCCTTGAAGCAGGCTGCTTCTTTCAGGAAGAACTCAAATGTCAAGGGCAATTCTGTCAAGAAGGGCGGCGGTTTCCAGGCCATGGGTATGTTGACACAAGAGTCGTAATCGAAAATGGGCGGGATGCGACTGACTGCTTATAGGACTCAATGCCAGTATGCTACGAGCGATCACGAAAAAGGGATTCAAGCAGCCTACCCCGATTCAGCGCAAGGCTATTCCCTTGATCATGGAACGGAAAGACGTCGTCGGTATGGCTCGAACCGGTTCGGGAAAGACTGCCGCCTTCGTCATTCCTATGATCGAGCGCTTGAAAGCACACAGTCCCACCGTTGGTTCGAGAGCCCTGATTCTGTCGCCGTCTCGTGAGCTCGCCCTTCAGACGATGAAGGTTGTCAAGGAGTTTGGCCGAGGCACAGACCTGAAGACTATTCTGCTAGTGGGAGGAGACAGCATGGAGGATCAATTTGGAGACATTGCCTCAAACCCCGACATTATTATCGCTACGCCCGGTCGATTCTTGCATCTCAAGATTGAAATGAACTTGCAGCTGTCGGCAATGCGGTACGTGGTCTTTGACGAGGCCGATCGACTGTTTGAGATGGGTTTCGCTGCCCAATTGACGGAAATTCTCCATGCTTTGCCGCAAAACCGACAGACTCTTCTCTTCTCTGCGACGCTTCCGGCATCACTGGTCGAGTTCGCACGAGCCGGCTTGCAAGATCCTAGCCTGGTCAGATTGGATGCCGAATCCAAGGTTTCACCCAACCTCCAAAGTGCTTTTTTCAGCGTCAAAGGTGCGGAGAAAGAGGGAGCACTTCTGCACATTCTCCAAGACCTTATCAAGATGCCGACTGGTCTGCCCGAGGGCGTCGAGACCGAGTCCGACAAGAAGTCGAAAAAGAGGAAGCGAGGCAACGATGCGGGTGGCGGCCGAGGCAAGCCAACGGAGCACTCGACGATTGTCTTCACAGCAACCAAACATCATGTCGAATATCTCCAATCGCTACTGAACGAGGCCGGATTTGCCGTCTCATACGTCTACGGTTCCCTGGATCAGACTGCGCGACTGGAGCATGTTGAGAACTTTAGGCAAGGACGGTCCAATATCCTGGTAGTCACTGATGTTGCTGCCCGTGGTATTGATATGCCCATGCTGGCCAACGTCATCAACTTTGACTTTCCGCCTCAACCAAAGGTCTTTGTTCACAGAGTTGGTCGTACAGCAAGAAACGACCAAAAGGGATGGAGTTACTCCTTGGTGAGAGAAAGTGATGCGCCGTACCTGATTGATCTACAATTGTTTTTGGGAAAGAAACTTGTGCTCGGACGAGAGGGCGAGGACTCAAAGCTCACCGATGACATTGTGGTTGGCTCTCCTATGCGTAGCAAGGTCGAGGCCCATGTCGAGTGGTTGAACAAGGTATTATTGGAGAATGTTGATATCAGCACTCTCAGAGATGTATCGGCAAAGGCTGAGAAGCTCTACATGAGGACCCGAAACTCGGCCTCGAGTCAGAGTGCCCGACGCGCAAGAGAAGTAGTCGCTTCAAAGGCTTGGGTGGAGTTGCACCCCGTTTTTGGAAAGGATGCCAGTGCCATGGAAAATTCAAGGGCCGAAATGCTTGCTAGGATTAGCGGTTACCGCCCACCCGAGACAATCTTTGAAAGCAAACTCGTCAACGGTAACAAGGTAGCCAATGGTACCGCAGCAGAGGTTATGCGAAACCTGAGGCAACGCGTCACGCCCCGGAATCAGGTCAAGAAGGCTGAAGCCTCGAAACAGGCAAAGGAGGACTCAGAAATGGAAGATGCGGACGCCGATGGTTTTGGAGAAGAAGATTCCGAAGTGGAAGAAGCGGCCGCTGCTGAGTATGACTCGGATTCCGAACTTGAAGTCACTGTGGGAGACACCAAGAAGTCGGGCGGTTCGGATCCAAATTCATTCCAAGACTCAGAAGTGTTCATGTCATACACGCCACGAACTATCAACGCCGCCGAGGAACGAGGTTACGGTGTGCACACAGGCGGCAACTTTGTCGAGTCGGCACGAGACGTGACGATGGATCTGACCAATGATGAGGGAGCCAAGGCCTTTGGACTACCCACGCGGTCAAAGATGCGCTGGGACCAAAAGAGTCGCAGATATGTCGCTCGTGACAATGACGAGGACGGTAGTAAGGGCGCACGCATGATTCGTGGTGAATCTGGCGCCAAGATCGCCGCCTCTTTCCAGTCTGGCCGATTCGACAAGTGGAAGAAGTCCAACCGTGTACAGCTCCAGCGTGTGGGAGAAATGGAGAAGATCATGCCGAACGGCCCTGGAGGTCAGGCTGGCGGTACAAGATACAAGCACAAGATGATGAAGGCGCCCAAAGATGCCGACAAATTCAGAGACGATTACCACGTACGGAAGAAGCGTGTCAATGAAGCCAAAGAGAACAGAGTTGGGCGTTTCAGGGATGGTGCTGGTGACAAGAGGGAAATCAAGGGTGCCGCAGATGTTAGAAAGGCTAGACAGCTCAAGCAACAGAGGTTGGAGAAGAATGCTAGACCTAGCAGGAGGAAGTAACGGCACGGAGATAGCAAGTCAACATATATCGACTCTTCAATTTCAATATAAATACCCTTCCTTGACGAGTACTATTTGTGACATACACTTGTGCGATGGACGAGAACGTTTTTCTTTTGGCTACGGGTATTATGCGCACTAGGAGACGAGTCGTGCTCAGAATGATACATCCAATAGAACTTGGCATCTGGACTCACCATGCATTTCGACTTGGAACTCTTGCTTTGGGGCTTTGCATACTTCGGCACAGATGCCACTTGTTCTTCCCCTTGAACCATATATCATATTGAAGTACTACTACTATGATGATTTCAGTGCCTATACCTATAGAGGTCGTTTGTGCTCGACTGTGAGATTGTATCGAAACACTTCTAATAGATTTCCTCCAGGCGCCAGGTTCTACGTTTTCACGATCATCCAGATGAGGGTGATGATGCGCTATTGATGCCGTCGAAAGCCTTGTGCATCCTGACATCAGTATACGTGGTGATCAACAAGAGCCTGAATGGTCTCGAATCTTTGCTATGCCTTGGATTTGGTCCGAGAGCTCCCCTTTTCAAATTGCTTCCAGCCCTTGGACACTTCAAAACCACCAGAGAAGAGTCCATGCATATCCCAGCCTACAATTGGCGCACATCTCGCAACTCTCTGATCGCCACCCTCGACTGCTACGAAGAAAGCTGACTCATGAGGCGAGCGGAGTTTCCATTCCCCAGAATTCCAAATATCTCTGGTTGACCGCCATGACGGCAAAAGTCGACGGCTACACACCAAGTTGTCAAGAATCTTGCAAGATTCCAGACTAGAAAGTTCGATTGTTGCGAAACTCGTTCGTGTCGTCGCTTCCACCGGGCACAAGCGTTCCCTTCAACCCAGGCATGATTTCAAGAGACTGATTTGAAAAGCTGTATGCATCTTCAACGCAACGTTTCATCTGTTAGGCAGAGACAAAAGATCCATGGTGCTGTGTATGATCGCCTCCCCTCCGCGGGTTATGAAGGCTGCGCTTATTGATAGGGTCGTATGGTTGCTCGCCCGGGCATGAGTCACCAGATCTTAATACGGGGGTTTCATTGTCTGCTCACGCTGCTTCCTACTATAGCGTAGCAGCCGCCATGTCCGATGAATGGTGGCAAAGTCTTACAGGCGATATTGAACAATCTCGAAGATATCTCGACGACGTGAGACTTGCAAGGTGTGTAAACTGATCCCGTTTCCGAGGAAATACGGGGGTTGTCGCTTCACGTACCTTGTCCAGTACGTATCCGTGAGAGCGATTCCCCGAGAGACAATCAGAGTCGATGGTTTTTCTTGATCAGACGTGGAAGGACAGAAAAGAAAAGAAAAAGTGGCGGACAGCGACTTGTATATCGAAGAAGTTGGAAGACTTGCAGCCCATTAAAACGTCGTGGCGCAGAGCACAGCCAGAGAGGCTGAGATGGGTTTTCTATTCCATGCACGTCAGCGGGACTGGCGCCGGCCGAACATTATGTGCCGCCCGCGCCGTTCGCTGTGTGTTTTTTTTGGGGGCGGCGCTGGTCCGGACGCGCGGCGATTGCTCAGGTGTACAGTAGGTAGCTGACAGTTTTCCTTCAAAACCCCCCATGTTTACCTGAACTGAACCAAGCATCAAAAACCCACCCAACATAACGATTAAGCTTTTTGACCGTTGACAGGCCTCACGATGACTGGCGGGCATTATCGTCCCTTGCCAGGTCATTGGCCGAAATACTACGACCACGGCGTATTTTGCAATTCTAAAGAAGCTACAAACAAGGTATGCAATTTGTACTAATTATCATATAGGTAGGCACACGCGATGTAGTGTTGTATTTGTATTGCTATCCGGAAGAAGTACTCTCTGAATTGCGCGCACGTGTACGGACTTGTGTTCCACTGAATAATCTTTGCTAGGGACACCCGCTAAAGAGGTTGCATATCGATCGATTCATGCTGCGACTTTAGAGTTTAGGTCTCTTGCCGTCCACTATGCGCGGAAGCTACGCATAGAGGATAAAATCGCTTGTATAGAGTAAACGCCGATAGGGCCGGCTGCAACCGTTGTGGCGAGCCGCCCGATATATCCGAACCGGCATAGCGAGGCCGCGCCCAGGCTTGCGGCGATCCTCTTAGAGCTTGCATTAGATTCTGATCGCCTCGTGGAAGAAACAGAAATGGAGTCTGTGTCTTGTCAAAGGGTGGAAGCCACTTGGTTCGGGAAACATGGATGAGGTTAGTTGCATTCTGTTGCAATCCTGGCAATATTATTTCCCTACCTACCATTTGGTACCAAGGTACGTAGCTCGAGTGAAGTGCCCAAAGGTGACACGCCCTTCGCTTTGTATTTGATTTACTGCGGTTCATGCCTACCTAGCCATTGGTGACTCATCCATCTATTGCGGCAATGTTTTTCGTACTTTCTTGTTTTTCTTCTTCTTTTCTTTTCCATCTATTTTCCACATAGGCAGCGGTGTGCAATGCTGCGAGAATTATTCTTGGCGTTAGCTGATTAGTATACACATGAAATCAACGCATACCTTTTGAAATATAGTGATTACAAAGCACACAAGCGCTACCTGCATAGGCAGTCACAGAACACCGGTGAAAAGGAACGGCGAGTGCGAAGTTTCGGAAACTCCTGCCTGAAGCAGAAGCTCTGTATAACTATTTGTAGACTAGTTTTTGATTTGTATTTTCTTGATTAGATACTGTTCTTTGATTGCATCTTTCGGAGAATGAATCTGGGCAAGAAGCAACAATTGTCGCAAGTTACATAAGAATGCTGATGTAAGCGGTTGGAGCTCTACGGAAGGACCTCCCAGAAAGCGGGCATTGCATTTCATGTTACCCAAGCTGCATGATCTCTATTTGGCTTGAATGGGTGTGGTCGGGATTTGAGGTGCATGATGGAATCATTGTTCAGCAAAGACAAATGAAAGTCTTACTACCAAGAAGGCATGACGAAGCGGATAGTAGTGTTTTCCTTTGTATAGTAAGGTAATCTGTATACTAACATGAGGCAGGACATGCAAGGACCTATGTAACCTTATAGATGCCTAACTTTTGGTTCGAATCACACTAACAGCCCTATCGGATGGTTCAGTAATCCCTGAAATTCAACCTAGGTGCATCTATGCCATGGATACTACTACTAGGTAGGTGGCCACAGTAATCGAGTAGGCAGCAATATAGCTTGTGGATTCATCGGCAATTGGAATGGGGCATCAGGTCTTCTCTTGTCCGAATATAGCTGTATATCAGGCTGATTGTCAGGCCGCGGGATCTGTCGTGTCTGTCAAACGGCGTTGAAAATCCCCAATATGGTTCGGGGGAGCTCAAAGGGTGCATGTAGTTTGTAGAAGGCCGAATCGCGAAGCTACCATCGTACCGGCCCGGCCTCTTTTCGCGCAGCCATCCACTACGAAGAGAGCTGCCCGAGGCTCAAGTGCTGCCCCCAAGTTTGGTTAGCAGTGCTCAGCTATAAGCGCGAGGCGCCGCGAACGCTAGTGTCCTAATGTAGCTAGGTACTACTCTGTAGGTTGGGTAGCCCCCAAAAACATTGAAGACCATGTCCAGACTCAATTCTCCTACAGCAGTTTACAGTGGATCATCAGCGACATCCTTTCACCTGGTCAGCTCCAACCTGAGTGACAACCTTTTAGCTACGTCGCCCATGACGAAAGACCACATAGCACTTCGAATAATATTTCTATCTCTCTTATTGCTTAAAATCCGATAACCGTCAGCCGTCGCCTCGGCAGCTCCACTAAGCCAACGTATCCCACCCCCCATGGTCAGTCGAGATGCAGGTCGAGACATTGACAAACGACGTCAGATCCCGGCACTCTAAAACCGTACTTCCCTGCCTACCAATGGAATATACCGGTAACCACAAGCCACCATTGCAAAACGTCCTGTTTGTGCCCCTTGCGACTCATCCCGTAAGACCGCGAAATCCGAAAACCCGCACAGCACAACACGGGACAAACCCCGACCAGACAGGACCTCAAATCAAGTCAAGTGCATCGGCCTGACCGTATTGGACTTCTGTACTGAGGACCTTTTGTTCACATGGATGAAGTGGCACTCACTTATGTACATTCAACATTGCGACGACATGCGCGACAAGTCAGAAATCAGATCGCATTGAATTGATATGCGGTTATATGTGCGATGCACGATAGCCTGATCATTTCGCCATGAATGACGAATGACCAGCACTAATTTGGTGCCTGGACATGGAAGGAAGCTTGGACTCTTAGAAGGGTAGGTAGGTACCAGAGCTTCTTCCTTTTGGAGAGAAGTAGTCATGTTTACCGACAAGCCTAGGGGTCTTGGGGTCAAGATTTAGGTATTGATTGCCTGGACTGTACACTCGAAGCAAAGGGACAGCTAATACAGCAGCAGCAAGTAACAATCTGGTCAACTTCCCGGCACTAATTTGATCAACTTTTTTGCCATCAAGGGGAAAAGCTTCCCCGTATTGAGAGTTTGAAAATTACCACTTATCCGACCGTTGAAAGTTTGCTTCAGGTCCTTAGAATCCGCAAGTACTCAGCGCACGTATCATCGAAATCAATTCAGGTGATCGAATCCCCATTTCTTTTAGGCGCTGTCGGCATTCAGAGTTGAAAGCGCCCGCGCGAGCTGCTGCTAAAATGGCAGACTTTAGATGCCCCTGGTCTAGCTTGACATTTCCATGTCCCGCGTCTTGAGCCTCGCCCAAGCCCTGATGATGCCCCTACTAATGACTAAATCCAGTGAGCCAGGACACAGGCGCGAGCTGAATGGCCAGCTGCGTGCCGCCGGCTGCGGCTCCGGATCCAAGCTACCTTACCCAGTTTACCAATCCATCCATCAGCAAACCTCTCCCCTGCGCGGCTGACGAACAGGACAGGCAGTACCTACATTCATCATCTACCCGATCGACTATGATCAAAACCTTAGATTATGGATGCGACTAACTGTACATGGAAGTCCATGCCGGCCCGGCCTTGCAGATTATACTTCTGCACCTTTCTCATGTCGCCTTTCTCTTCCCCATGTAAATATGCCCTTCAAGTCTTGGAGCAGCCGGACCCTTCAACTTGCATCACATCTATAGGAACATCCGGCATATCCACTGCACTCCACCAGCTACACTTTTTTTTCTTTAGAGAATATATTTCTTCAGAGGCCTGGGCGATCCCTGTGGCAGAAGAGGACTTGCAGAATTACAAATTACGGATAACCATTCGTGTACTCGCTTCGACGTCTGACCATGGAACACCACGACAGACGTTGCATTCGACTGGACGTGTAGAATGATTGGTGGTTGTTGGGAGTCCACAGGTACGCGCACTTTGCACATCCTTCCCACTCACTCGACATGCCAGGAACTACCAAAAGGTCCCATTTTTGGCACGGCTCTGTCATGTTCCATGTCATCGCCGTGGCTTTGCCCACCACAGGATACATCGTGGTGATGCAATATGGGGGCACCCCGTCATCAAAACGATGCCATCCAATGACGGTCCAGTTGCCTGAGAGCCTTGATTCTTATAAATCTATCTCGAGGGCCCTACCCGTGGCAAAACTCCTTGCTTGACTCATAATCATACTCTCAAATAGATCATTTGCTAACAAATCAAGAAGCAATAATCATAGATTGAAACATCAACATAACGGAGTACACATTCCTGGTGCACTGCAAGCATAACGCACTGACAAGAACGGAGTTTGGTGTTATCGCCGGGCGTAATATGAACTACACGAGAAAGAGTAAGGACAGGCCCGCTCTTCCCTGTGTATAGTTGCAACACCTCATTGAAACAGAGCTAACATTACTATTCAAGGGGCACTCCTGGCCTGTGACTTTTGCAGGTACATCTTAACTAAAACTTACGATCAAGTGACTCGGCACGAGACTAATGATACTATAGGCATAGGAAAAGACGGTGCGACGGCCAGAGGCCTTGCTCAACTTGTCGGGATTCAAATGCAGACTGTGTCTACAAGGAGTTACCATATGACCGGTTGGTAACAGCGCCTCGTCTTTTCCCCGATCGCTTTGAGCTGACATGAGAATAGGATTGAGGATGCAAGTCCGGCCGCCGTGGCCGATCGCCTGGCTCGGATCGAGGCGCTCCTCGAGCAACAGGGCCAGCAGCTGCGGCAGATGACGAGCGGCTCAACCCCGAACAGCTCATCTGCCGTTCCTTTTGACTATACGCAGTCTTCATCGCCTGTGTTCTCCAAGTTCTCCGAGAATAACGAGATACCCTCGTTCCCGCAAGAGCAGGCCGAAACGCCCACCTTTCTGATTCCAAAGGGACACACCAATCTGACGACGACGATATTGGCTTTGCCTCAGCTACGGGAGCAGTTAGGCGATTTTCCTAGGGACTATTTTTATAGAATTGAGGAAAACCAGCCCTTGCCTGAGTCTCTCAGATCTTCACAAACCGACCGCAGAGCATGGCCTCCTCTACGGCAAGCGGTCGTGAGTAAATTGTCCGAGAGCTACTTCCGCAACGTTCATTCGCGCCAGCCACTGCTAAACCTGGGCGAATTTCATCTGTGGCAATCCAAACTTTTAAAGAAGCAGCCGATAGCCGATGCAGAAGCTGCTATTTGTCTCTTGGTTTATGCGCTGGGAGCCGTTACGACACCCATGGCCGCGAGTCCCGATGCGAGCGACGGGGTTTTGGGACTTGGTTTCTTTCGGCCAGCACTGGCTTTGATCTTGCACGAATACACATGGAATTTCAAACCAGATCTGGTCGTGGTCCAGGGACTTTTGCTTGCGGGTTCTTACTTTTCCCACTTGGGACGGCCATTGCATAGTTGGAGGATGTCATATTTAGCCTCTCAGAGATTTCTGCAGACCATAGAACTGTGAGTACCCAATGAGTTTGACTTCTATCGTGTATCATGATCTGACCAAAACATCCAGCCGTCGTAGTGAAGATGCCGATGGGGAGTATCACGAGGCAGAACTTCGTGTATTCTGGCAGTGCTTCCAAGAAGACTGGTAAGTTTGAATGCAGCCATGACCCAAAACATCCAAAGTCCTAACATTTAAGTTTAGTAATAGAGCAGAAGATTTGGATGTTATACGCAGCGGTATAGAGCCGCTTGGCGACAAGATGCCATTACCGCACAGCATGGATCCGAGCGACCACGAGGAAACCATCCACTTGTTTGCAGAGATTGCGATTCGCAGACTTCTTAACCGCGTCCACAGCTCTCTGTACAATCCAGAATCGGAAAACCACTTTCCTGGCATGGTCGATCCAGCCATAAGCAAGCAAGGTCTGAGTTTGCAGCAACTGCTCACACTCAGCTCAGAACTGGACCGGCAGCTGGAGGAGTGGTACGTTTCAATCCCCGATGTAATTCGCCCCCCGCGTGGCGTCGAGCCCATCCTAAACGAACGTGGCCGCATCTTGCGCATCCGCTATTACGCCGCCCGACACATAATCCACCAGCCTTTTGTTCTCTACGCGGCAGCGCAGCAGTCCCGGGCCACTTCGATGTCATCGGCCCAGACGTCACCAGGCCGTGCAGCACCGGCGCCACCGCCTTCTCACTCACCACCACCAACGGACGGTCTTTTGCCGCAGGTCGTTGTGGAAAAGTGCGAGGCATGCATTGAGTCATGCGTTACCTTTCTGTACAATATGATCGAGCAACTCGATCAGCGCTCGTGCTGCTTGTGGTCTGCATCGCAGAGCTGCCTGGCATGTTTTCTCGTATTGCTCTTGGCGGAGAGCTGTCCGCAGTTGCAGCACTTTGTACCACCTATGCGAGGCTTGCAAAAAGCGGCCATTGGAAAACTGGGAAAATGGGCAATCGAGTCTTCGAGTTTTGAGGCTGTTGTCGCCATTATGAAGAAGCTGGTGTTTAGGGAGGTGCGAAGCATGTAGTGAGCTTTCTCTCGCTTGTTTGCCAGCGAATAACGTTTCGAATGAGTAGTACGATAGGAAACGAATGATGTAAGAGAATTTCGAACCTGCGGTCAAATGATGAGATTGAACGATGTTGATGTTCAAGTGGTGTAAAATGGAACAATTTCTTATTAGCTAGAATTACTATCTCCTTTAACTATAGTAATACCATACGTACTGGTTTTAATGATTTATGAATATAGTTATCCGTGTGCGGAATGCGTTGAAGATAGGTCTCAAGATCAATATAAAAGAGACGCTCCGCATCTCGGCCACATCTTGAATGATGAGAAGCACTCACGGGAATACAAAATATACTCAGTGGAGAGAAGAGGCTGTATATACATACATGTATCAGCTGGTATCTTGGTGAGGCCTAGAATCAAAATCAGAGGCACAATGAAAAGTTCACCCAACAGAGCCACCAGAGGTGTTTACAAGACCAGGATGAGCTCAGGAGGCGTCTTGATGTTCACAATCATCGTACTATGAGAGGCTATCCATACAAACAAGCAAGATCTGGAGCGTGAATCTCCATTGTACCATTTTTGTCTCCCTAAGACCACAATTCGTCAATGCCTATCCCGACAAAATACCACATTTACCGCTCAGCCCAATTTCACCCACAGGCCGAGTGTATGATATCCCACGGCATTAGTAAGCTATGAGCATGGCAAGTCAGTAGGTGATACAATTAATTTAATGCTGATTGGGCAGATGGTCCAAGATCATACCTTAGGATCCTTGATTCTACGCTTCCGAAGTTGTCTCTCAATGCGCGGGTTTTCTTGCTGTTCTGACCCCGCCCAAAACCAAGAGTCTTGCCGGATAGGAGGGTTCACTGTGCTTTGATGTCTCGGCTTCTCGATCAACGGTCCGGACCGCATGCGCTCTTTCGCGTTAAACCTCTGTGGTGCGAGTCCGGCAGAAAACGTAGATTGTCGATTCATAGGTTCTGGAGGGGGCGTTGGGGGTGCAGACGGCGTAAAGATTGACGGGGGCGCAGGGTCCTGGACAACTTCTGTGCTAGCTGTTCGAACCGCCTTGGATGTGGTGGATACGACTTCCGAGGGGTTTAAATGTGCAACAGGATGCAAGAGGTCTTCATCTGAGCGGATCAAATCGATATACGTCCATGCGCAGACCAAATTTGTCGCAGATATTTCTGTCAGTTAATCGCCAAAACAGCTGGGCTGTTGTCATTGGATCCATGGTGTACTCTTTTAGTACTGATGTCAATGCCGCAGTAAAATTGTTTGACCTGGGCCGAAGTTTCCTCGACGTTTCCATAAGCGCCGAGGATCTCGCATCGGCGCCGGCACTTGATTTCTCGTGGTACGATTGATGTGGCGTGACAACAGTCAAACAGGAACAGAACGTCGCAAGTTGCCAGGGTGATGATAAGTTCGATGCTATCCCATTCTAGGCGAGAAGGCTCCTTAATCTGACGATTGAACCAGGAACCCTTGCGACTAGATGAATCATAGTCACCATGTTCCCCGTAGTAAAGAATAAATAGACTGTTCCCGAGCTTCTTCCCGGAAGGAACCGTTTTTCTGCCTATAGAGTCAACGTGGGCTGATATCTCTCTGTTGAACTGGCGCAATGGATCTGACCCGAGTTCGTCGTCGCTGCTCTCCAATTTAACTTCCTCTGTCATGTAACCATATTCATCTTCGAGTAAGCGTCTCAATTCACCCGCGGATTCAATAATTTGGGAGTAATTATTGTCTTCCCAGGTGATGAAGCAGGCTAGAACATTATCATATGTTTGAGGTTTCGCGAGCATATGGGGGATTTCCTGGTTCAATTTTTCAACAAAAGCTTCGATATGGGGGACATGGTCTGGCAGCGGCTGAGAAACAGACTCTGCATTGCCAGGCGCAGTAGGGTGAGCAGGTTGATGATTTTCCAGAGTCACTGGCGAGGCTACAGTAGCTGCCGCCATGGTGTTCAAAAATTCATCCACATTTAGCACTCTCTTCGATGCCACTGAAGTTCATTGTTGCACAAATGGTAGAAGTTCGAGAGGAGTTGAGATCTGAGACTGAAACAAAAGACAACACGTGCATGGGAAAATGCTAACACCCGCCGCAAGACCCCGTCTCAGTTGATGTACTGAGTAAGATCAAGCAGCCACGCCTGTTTGGCGTCGATACAAACATGCCAACAACTGCTAGATCCACTTGATCATTCGTGTTCTCCTTCCTTCGCAAACTGCCATCAATATTTACAAGCATTTGGATTGTCATGGATTACGCTATAGGACCTTTGGACGATCCATGGGTACTACGAAGGTCTCGGACGCAAACATTGTCTTGGCGACCTCCTCTTTACACATACTCCAATGTACTGGAAGGAGATCATTGGCATGCCGAGCCGAACAGCCATCCACCCAGGAGGGTGAAAAGAGGCGACATACCAAGTTTCGACAGTACGTCATACGATAGGAGTGCTTTGGGAATTCTTGGCTTCGACGTAGATGGTGAGTGGAATAACGTGAATCAGGCACCAAAACCGAGAGGCATTTCAAATGTCATGCTTTGCTGCGTGCTAGATTCAAATTCAACTCTCGTTAACACGAGCGTAGATGGCCAACACAGCATAGTAGAAGACGTTGACTACACAAAGTACCACGAACGGCCAGGCGACTGGAAAGAACTTTGTCATCTCATGTGCGTCATCTTGGTACCTCTGTAAGGTAGAGGTGGTATTGCTGCTAATAATATGTGTTGTTATAGAACATTACCGGCCGTTGAAAATCTGAACTATTACGTTTCCTATAAGCCCGGCCGCGCCTCATGGAATCATTATTGGTCTCCAACCGGAGCCAAGCGCGACTCGGAAGCACTGCTTGAATATTTCATGACAATGAACCATATTCAAGAACCTTCTCAGCTTCTGCCTCTCGACGCTAGAGCAGCACTGTTCTATAACCTACCAGGGCTAATGGTGCATTCGGCAGACTACCAGGAGCGATACACTGAGTATGCGCAGAGAGCCAGTCCGCGGTCTCCCAAGTTACCCTCAGCTTTCTACTCTTGGGATAGAGAGCAAAACACATTACCAGGATTGTACTTTAGCATCTTCTATCTAAAGAAAGCCGGAAAGAGAGACGGCAGCAGGCTCTGGGGTACAGACAGCAAGCATCTGCAATACTCGAGACAACATCTGGTTTATCCGAATGACGGAGAGTGATATACCAAGAATGCTCCTCGGTCATGACAACATAGATTCACCACCACTAGATCTCGATCTAGAAACATTGGCCGCTATTGTCAACTTCTGCTTTCTATTCCGACTCTGCACACTTGCAACCTGTGGCTAGATGATACAACTTGTGGAACAAGCCGTCTTCAACCTGTGGGACCCGTCTGAAATTGTGACAATCAAAATCAGCCATGTCGAATTTTACCTTGAGCAAAATATCAGAACTCTTGGAATGGTCCGAACATGGGTTCTGAGGAACTACAAGGCAGTAGGGAAGGAAGAGGAGCCCCTTTCCGCGGAGTATGTGCAAGTGATCGACATGTTTGACAGCAAGATACCTGAAATGATAAGCAAACTAGAGCTCCTCCTCGGCTCAGCAATTGCATCACTCAAGGAAGCTGGCGACGCATCTGCTGAAAGACTGCTACGACTGAGCACGAATCAACTCCAACTTGGCTTTGTTTCGCAAAACACCATCTCGAGTGCAACCACTCTAGTTCTCATCTTCATTCCGTTGATATTCGTTTCGGTAAGTTGGGACTTGTTTGAAAACAAAAAATATGCAAGACGCTGCTAATAACTTGGCCATGGGATAGACACTCTTTAGTACTAACACAATCCACTTCTATCCGGACGGGGATGTCTTCTCGCGTGCAGCCCTATCCAGTTGGTTGCAAGTATCTCTCCCCCTTTGCGAGTGTACTTTTCTTGCTGTCTTCGTGTCAACTCGCCTTGCCACCGAGAGTACAGAATTCTTTACGCGAGTCCTCGGAATATTTGGATGGGAATGGTTCAGAAGGACTGAGGGGTCAGCCGGAAGATCCGTATATGGTCCAGAAGGGTCCGGAATCCGTGCAGAACCGCCAGACGTATGACGTAGGTGTAGGTATATCTGAAATAGGAGAGCCCGAGGTAATGTTTGATTGATTTCTGTTTGACTTGGGACATGGTTCTTTTCCTTCAGGAGTATCTAGTTGAGTGAGACAAATATTACTAATTTAGATGTACCTTTGCGTTTGAAACTCTTTCAGCTACAGATACCATGGCTTTTAGCTTGCCAAGAATCGTATCTTGAGACATTGAGAGGTTATATTTCATATCACTCTGCGACTTCCTTTCACGTCGACCCCTCCTTTCCCTCTTGTTTGTCCTCTCGATCTTCCCCCATTCCCTCCCCTGTATTAATATTATTGGCTACCTTGGTACTTCTGTTGAGTATCACGCCCAGAATCCCGCTTTGAAAGCTACACCCTTCCGCAATTCATGCCGAGTGCACAGGGCGTGATCTCCCACCATGGTTCACGGCGACGAACGGCGACCCGACATAATTTACTGGAGATGTTTGCAGCACAAGAAAGACGACCATGCGGCGTACCCTGCCATTGACGCTGCTAATTTGAAACCTGGTGTCTGTGGCTATTTCGACAGAGACTGAGACTGGAAGCTCGTCGTGGACCTGGCCACTCCCGCCGAGTAACTTCGCCTTGATGGCTATACGGCATTATCCAAAGACCAGGACATATCATTCGTGGATCCCAACAGCGGTGCAGAAGAAGTCTGGGGTCAGCGAATATCCCACGATGTAGAAAGAATCGAAGTGACGGGTGAAATGAGTGCGCAGTGAGTCATGACAAGCCAGCTTGGTCTCAGACACTGTTTCATATGATACTGCAAGAACTAACATGCCGAAACACAAAGGCACCAAGGTGCGGGCGGCGCAGTGTCCGTCAGATATAGATCATCCTCAAAAGAAACCGCAGTTCTGCTGACTCAGGGACCCATCTCAAGATGCCATACCGGGGTCAAGGACCAGGTCTTTCTAGACTGGATGAGAGACAACGCTGCCAAGATTGTTCAAGAAAATACAGAAGCCAAAGATTGGGGGCTCTGGATTGTTACCAAGACTTGCAGTGCTACACGTTGTGCCTTCTCTGTCGTCGAGTCTAGGGGTACTGAGTTTTCATGGTATATCAGCGCGGAGGCAGCAGGTGTTGCTCAATTGTCTCCAACAGCAACATGTAAGGGTGCCTCCGCCCCAAATTCACCATCAACTTTAATTCGCCTAGTTTGATGTGATTGCGCTGACTGGTATTTTCAAAGGGTGGAGCAGCCATGATGCTAGTGAATGGACGATGAGCTTACGTAAGGCTTGCTTTTGTTTCCTGATGCGGTACTTCGCATCCTTCCTGACATGATTCAATAGGCTAAAGGTGTCATACTCTTCATGTGTGGTATTAAATGGATACCGAAGCGAATTCAATGGAAAAGCAATGCCCTCAACCCCATCCTAGACAAAGACAAGCAGAAGCATAGAGGAAAGGGGCAGAATCTTCCTATTGTCGAGGTTGTAGAGGGCACGGATGAGTGCGGAGAGCTCACTCAATTCGAGGCCCATTCTTTTCCCAGTCGATGAGGAGGAATCGTTCTCGCAGCACGTAGAAAATTCAAGTGATTGCAAAGGAAATCGGAGTGAAATGGACACCTCTACGCGGGAGACTCCTTTGGGCCATATTTTTTTTTTTGATCTTCAAGCTGGGGCGATCACTACCATTTTTCTCTATTGTCTCTATTCTTTATGGAATTAATCTTCCTGTCCTATTCACCTTGGTTTACTTATTAACACAACCGCATTCACTATCTGCCTATGCGAAACAATATCTCACCTGAGCCGATATGCGAAGGGGGAACTGAAGACGAGATGATCGAGGAAGCATTAAAAGATGTCTAACTTAATCTCTAATCTACAAAAGAAAAGTGCTAAAGAGCGACTATATACCCACGCAGATGATCTGCGGTGTGTACTGACTACGTCAGTAAGACACAATGCTTATAAGGGATGAGTACAAAATCTGGCGACCATGTACGGCAAGTTACAAAAAGCTTTTACAGATTGCATAATGAGAGGAATGAGCCTTTGGTGGAATCATGGATATAATAAATAATCTTTACCCAACTTGGACACGCGCTATGTTTTGCATCTGGCGAATGCCCCTCGGGGAGTAAATTCAGTCTTTTCAAGTACCATGCCCACTTTATTCAGTGCTCGATCCCTCCAAACCTTGTCTCTGACATCGACCCTCCAAGATGTGATAAGGCGAAGAAGCAAGTCGTGCAACTCCAGGTTGGCCAATGTCCGAGGAAGCCAAGATAATTCTTGATGTAATTGCACATAAAGTGGCAATAGTGTTGGAACGAGTCTCCTTGAACCGCCTTGGCTACCTGTGATTGGCAAATACTTGTAAGCCTTCAGAGTTTAAACAAGAAGAAGAAAAGAAATATCTGTTGCTTTACATCCGAGCCCCGCACAATCTCCTCAGGTTCGACATGGCCAAGTACAAAAACCTCCTATAAAGCCTCAAAGAAAGTGCCTTTTAATGGTCTTTGGTAAATATTCAGATTGGCTTCTGTTATAGAACTCATCATCTTTCACCCATTGACGTTTCGAAATGTCTTCCATTATTATGATGCTTTCATCAACACTAGTGACGACAGGCTTGTCTGCTTATACCACAACATCATCAACCTGTTTCATTCTTCAGGGCACATACACAAATGGTACAAGTCTGGGGTTCCTTGCTGTTGAGGATTACCAGTTTGGAGTTTGGGCTTCATTCGTCGGTGAGAGCTCGCGAGGAACAAAGCTTGGCATCGATGGAATCACTGGTAACCTAATCAATTACGATGGGGAAAGTGTGCAGCAAGGGTTTACGGCCTCGACATATTGGGATGGCATAAACAATGTTGCGGGCTCTATCGTCTTCGACATGCTGTACTTTGATAATCCACAAAGTCTACTGGATCCAGAGAGCAACGAACACATTGCGGCCGTGTGTGAAGTCGACTCCAACAACATCCTAGCTTGCGCTCACCGCTGGAGCCCGGACTATCAAATCTTCTCGTATTGCCCCCAAAACGATATTGGCTTGGTCATTGGCGACGGCAGTGATCCGAGGTTCGATTGCGAGCCTATCGTGCTGCGTGCGAATGCGGCCCAGGGCTGCGTTCTTCCAACAAGCACACCCGTCTCATCGCCCACACCAACCCGGACACTAACCACGTTGCCCACGGGCACCGTGTCGCCATCGAGCCAGCCCTTGTGCATGGGAGGAAAGACACAATGTGCGGACGGCTTCTTGGTCAGGTGCGACAAGAATGTATACAACGACAGCACAAAATGGACTCTTGCCGGCGGCGTTCTGGACGAGCCTATTGGAGACTTGCCCGTCACGTCGAGCCTAGAGTGCCACCAGGCTTGCGTCAATAGAGCCACATGTGCAGCGTGGAAGTACTTTGAACATTCCTTCGATTGGCTCTACTGTTGGCACACAAATGAAACTATTGCTGGTAATGTTCATTTTCATGTTTCAGACTTTGCGTCCTACAGATTCGGAGTGAGAGGTGCATGTACTTAACTAGACTGGAAAACTCTACCTGTATACTAGGTCTACTCAGCTATATTATACATGCTTTATATTTTCAAAAGTAGCTTCCCGACCGTTTTTCGGCTCTCAAGATCCTTATGCGCTTGCGCTGCTTCCTTCCAATCGTATACACTAGGCGTCCGGATTTTCACGGTACCATTCTGGAGTTTTTCAAAAACCTTTGAAGCGTAATATGTATACGATTCTCTGGTTGAAACGTAGTGTTGAGCTGTCGGCTGGATCACCTTTAGGTTCTTCTCCCTAATAAGGGATAAATCGAGCGGCGGAATTGGCCCACCTGGTGGGTATAATGTCAGAAGACTATCGTGTCACGAAAGAGCGTAACTTACTTGAACTCCCAAAGTAGACAACCGTCCCTTTCATTTTGGTCACAGCGATGCTATCTCTCCAAGTGTCTTTGCCAACGCTGTCAAATACCTGAAGGTTTATAAAGCATTAGCTGTTGTGTGAGTACCGAGACAGACTTCACTAACCGCGTCAACTCCTTTTCCACCCGTGAGAGTCTTTACCTGCTCGGACCAAGACTCTCCCGAAGAGGCCCTGTAATCGATAACATGGGCAGCGCCGAACTCCTTGACCAGGGCGCATTTATCGGGCCCTCCAGCTGTTGCGATTACGGTGATGCCCTCGGCCTTGAGGAGTTGGCACAAGATCAAACCAGTACCCCCGGCCGCCGCATGTACAAGCACGACATCACCCTTTTTGGCCGGGTACGCTTCTTCGATCAAAGACAGCGCAGTCATGCCGGTCAAATGACTGGCGACGGCATCTTGCTCGGATACTCCATCAGGAAGGTGAATAACCTTGTCCTGGTTGACAGCTGTGTATTCCGCATATCCACCGAGACCAATCCAGACGACCTTTTCACCAGGCTGGAAATTGTACGGATTATCACCTGCAATCTCCGCGATAGTTCCACTTCCTTCCGATCCAAGGATCAAAGGGTAGCCAGCTGGAGAAGGATAACGTCCAGTGCGCATGTAGATGTCTATAAAATTGACCCCAGCGAAGCGGTTCCGAATAAGTACCTGGCCTGCCTTGGGCCTAGGCACGGGACCCGATATGATCTGAAGTTGTTCGGGGTCGCCAGTCTGTTTCACGACGATTGATTGGGCCGTAGGAGGGACGTCTGAAACTTTAGACATGGTGATGAGCTCTTACAAGTCAAGATAAACAGTCTCAGGTAACAGGTTTTGTGTCCGAATGGAAGATTATATTGTACTTTGCCTGCTGCGGGTCATCACTTTATAGAAACGGGCTGGACATGGGGCAGCTGTGGCTCCACCAATCGGAATCATCATAAATGACCCCATTACAGACTTACGACATTTTGGCTGGCATAACGCGAAAGCCACGATTTGTCATCTCGTTCGCGTTCTCAGGTTAGCTATAGCTCAATCGGCAATGCGCGGAGCAAATCAGGTCTCCGGCTCCGTTCCTCCGTCGGAATACGGAATGTACTGAATTTGCAAGATCAAGGCAGTCGTTGGTACATGCGCAAGACTTCAGCAATTTCATGTAATTTCAACGTCCTTAGGTGCGGTAAATGTTTTCTTTGGCAGAGACAAGGAGCCTTGGACTGCTGTGTCTGTTAGGTGGATCGGCACGTCGGCTTGGCAAAGCAAGGCTATAGGTATGTACTTGGCTTCCCCTAATAAGAGGCTCTTGTAGCAGCGACACCAAGTTCTTGCTTACGAGCGCTGACAGACTGGTTTACCTTCAAAATTGATTGAGATTCTCGAGGACAATAGGTACATGTTCTACAGTCGCGGTCCTGGCAACTGAAAGTTCGATAAGTAGATCAGCTCTGATGGCGACTGTCAGACAGAGCTGAAAATCGGCAGGGCATTGTTCGTGCGAAGACGTGGTGGGGAAGACGTGATTGAAGGAGCGTCTGGAAGAAGTTTGAGTTGATCATACTGTCAGGGCAGTGCAAGACTGCGTGGGGTTTCACGTGCGGGCATTCAGATTCGTCTATAGGTAAGGACCGTCGAAATGCTGTATAGGCGAGTTCAACGGCAGGCTTCAGTTGTCTCCCCAATATAATATTGTCGTACTGACGTAGTTAGTACCCACCGCAGATCACTTGCATGGGTATATAGTTCGCTTTTCAGCACCTCTCTTTTGTAGACTAGAGATCCACTTAGACATCTTTTAATGCTTCCTCTATTATCTCGTTTTTAGTTCCCCTTTCACACATTGGCTATAGTGAGAAATATGCCCGAGCAGGGGATCTGAGTTGGGTACTGATACGTCGATATAACACATTTATGCATCTTGCTTTTTCTTCTTCTTTTTAACCAGAAGCTTCGAATCGGGACCTTGTTACTTTTTCTGAATAATTGGATAGTGTGAAAAGCAGGTACGGGGTATGCAGAAGGAGTCACGGTCATGACAATGTATAGCTCAGACAGGTCGCTAAAACTATTATCGTTGTTTGGTGTTAAGGAGAGGATTTATTTGTCCAGATCTGGGCGATCAGTAGCACTCTAGGGAATGAATCAATGCAGCCTTTAGTTTCCGAATTCTGATCCATAAAACAGTCCTAGTAACCGACTGGCTTCTGCGGGCTTGGATGGTCGATCTTGGCCCCAATGAGGGACTGCACCAGGTCTGAACGTCTATTACCCTCTCTGGGATCGTCACCAATAAAGTTGAGCGGGAAGCCAAGGTCAAAGGGCTTGACGCTCTCGAGATACTGCATCTGGTCATCTGTCAAGCGGATGCTCAGTGCCTTGATGTTATCTTCCAGATGCGATTGCTTGCGACACCCGACTAGGGGAAATACATTGCGAGCCTTTCTCATGACGTACGCCAGGGCAATCTGCTGGATGCTGTCGGTTCCGTGCTCGGCGGCCACCTTTTCCAGAGCCTCGCTGACCTTTTGAGCATACTCGCTTTGCTCCTCGTACCGAGCGCTGTCCCCCTCGAGCTGTGCCTTGGTCTTGATCTCTCCACCTCCTAGCACATTCCAGGGGCACAATGCCATGCCGAAATGGCGCGCCATGGGAATGATATCCCTCTCAAAGTCACGGTCGATCACATTCCATCGGCCCTGGTAGACGGAGAACGGTGTCTTGCCGTGTGCTCTGGCATAAGTGTTTGCGGCAGCCACAACCCAGGCAGGTGTATCCGAGATGCCAAGATACAGAACCTTTCCTTGTTCGACCAATATGTGCAGCGAGTCCATCAACTCTTCGACAGAGGTAGTCCAATCCCACCAGTGGACATAGAGGAGATCGATATATGTCGTTTGCAGTTTCTTTAGCGAAGCGGCGACCGATAACATTAGCGACTTCTTGTGGTTGCCGCTATAGTTGACAGTCTTCCCAGTACCGAGGTCGTGAGTACGGAAGCCGTTGGTGAACTTTGTCGCGATGAAAAGCAAATCACGGTTGCCTCGAGCAGCTGCCCATTCTCCAAGAATCGTCTCGGACTCTTCATTCTGGTAGTTATTGGCCGTGTCGATGAAGTTGCCGCCCGACTCCACGAAGTAGTCCAACAGCTTGAACGAGTCCTCCTTGGTCACTCCACCTAGGAGATTGGCCCATTCTGTGCCTAGGGACATTGCTCCCAGAGCCAGGGGAGAGACACGTACACCAGCATTGCTAGAGAGGATCCGGTATTTGCCAAGGTCTGTCTTGGGTTCTTCAACGGGTCTGAAAGCCATAGTAGATGATTGTGTGATGTTTGGGTTATTTGCGCTCAGTCTGAAGATGTTTTACACGAATATGGCAGACCGTACATCTAGTGAGAGGACATGTCTATTTAAATGGGAACAGAGCACTACAAAAGTCGTGAGCATATTGGTAAGCATTTCACTCATCCGTCTGTCGGCGGTCCGATCTCACGACTGCAATGGTTGTCGGGAACAATCTCTCTTATTCTGTCGTACAGAGAGATGCATGGGTCGGCCTTAACGGGAATAAGGACGTAGTACGTACTACCGGAGCAGAATACCTACTGGCAGCACGTTAGTACCCACCCGTAGGCGATTGGCGAACGAGCAGCCAAAACCCGATGATCATCATGACTGGCAGTACAGTATTATTGTCACCTTTGGATACGATCAAAGTTCTTCAGAACTTGCCAACCGATTTTCGGACAAATTTCCACATGCAGCGAATGCGGGGTCCTGGTTCAGCGGGCGGTGCTCTCTTTTTGTACCTTTTCTGCGCACTGATTTCTTGGCTGAGCCTATTTCTAAGCAGATTAGTCCTACTGCTTAGAAACGTCAACTGCATGTCATATCTTAGTCAATCACTTGATAATCACTTGATCGTGCTATGCCACACTCACACTGTGACACTGCAGATTTGTGACCTTGTTGCATACTAAAATTTCGTCAGCGGGAACACGCATACTGTAACTGCCATAGCGTGATGAAAGCTGTAATCCTAAGAACAAGCTTATTCTTAACTATAATATTCCCATCCCCGAGCCAGCAGAAATCTTGATTACCGGCGGCGCAGTTGCCCTAGACCATGTCGATTGGCTATGTACGACAAACACCGTGGTGGCCGAGGATCACAGTATGGTTGGCAGTGATCTTGCGCGTATTGTGACGAAAGTTGGCAACAGAATCAAAAAGCTCGCAGAATCAAGTAGAGGCGCACGCCGCGGGCTGAATGCAGGGTGGTAGGTCATTTGTTATATCGAACGCCAATTTTGAAGAGAACGCCAAGCAGTATATGCTGACATTCAAGTTCAGATACCAAGCCTGCTCTGTAAATGGACGGCAGAACCATTTGTCCGATATGTCATTACGGAACGGCATTTTGCATGGTCCATTGCCGCGACGATGTCTCAAGAAGAGGCGGCAGCTGTCAGCATGTATGTATGGTATTGGTCTTACAGCTGCACAAGGATTGTTTAGCAGCCTGCAACTTCCATGTCCGTTTGACAAGACTGAAGGCTTCAATCGGCTCAGTACACAGCCTGGAAACACCGTTGATATTCTGATCTACAGATGCCAAAGTCGAGCTCGTGGAAAGTTCGACATTACAAAGTTGGCGATCAAGTCGCTTACGATTAGGTGCAAATATAACTTGTCAAAGTTACTGTCTGCGCAGGACATCGAGTTCCATGGAACCAAGTTTGCTGCAAAGCTCTGCCGAATTTGATGGCATAATCGAGCGCCTTGGCCATCGCTTTATGGAGGACGCTCCGATTTATACAGTGCAAGACGTACAATGTCTAAGGTGGAATACTGAGGCGTGTGACGCTTGTCGACGGCACATAGAATGTACTTTCAAGTACTGTTCAAGGCCAACGAAACTCAACCGACTTCCTCAATGGCAAGCACAAGAAAGGTGCCGATGAGTTTACGGGTCTCGCCTCCGGGTCTCGTCCATGTATGGAAGCATGTTGACATCATGGGCAACTTTTGACTGATTCAGCTTGTCCTCCTTCATGACAGCTCCAGCCATCCCGGCCGTGTGGCCATGCGAGATGGTATCGGCGAGATTCCAAGGTTTGATGCACAGATCGTTAGCATCAATCTCCCGGGTAATCACTCTTCCTGGCGAAGGTCCCAATTCTTATCACCGAAACTCAAACAACTCAGGATCATGCGAGAAACTCCCAGGCCATAGAAACCAATTCAGTCTGATAGCCATCATCCCGTATGGTGAGTGGACAAAGATAAGAAAATCACCATTGTCAAGAATCGTGTAATCATGATAAAGCGCTCTATATTTGCAGCTGAACTGTGTTGAAGACGTTGCAAAAGGTTGGTCGATGACGGTAGGATGCAATTATTTCTTCACGTAGGTCGGAATTAACAGTACGTAAACTCCGGAACCTAGATAATTATATCTTCCGCTCCTTCTTTTCTTCCCAAGTTTTAAGAAGTTTAGCATTGACCAAATACGCGTATTTTAATGTAAAGCTGAAATGAAGAGATTGATACCTCATAATCTGCACGGCCGACTTGACTCGAGTCCCAATATACACATGGCGACTCTTCTCGTAGTTAACGCCGGTGATCTAGATCTTTTGGAAGTGCCGGCGCGGACTTAAACTTAAAACCTCCCGCCCTGGCACGGGTTTGCAAGCCTCCAATGTTTAAACTTCGTGTTTTGGCGGGTCGCTGTGATCCACCAAGGCACTGCCTTGAGGGTACGCCCTGTGTGGCAGCATGTCGTGATGTAAGTAACTAGCACATTGGATCGTATATTAAATGCGAACCCTGCTGGGTCAAACAAAGACGGCAGACCACCATCACACTTCGCAACTCATTTCTCTACAACTTCATTCTCGATCACCCGTGGTTCTTGCCTTCCTTCACAATGGCGGACCGCTACGTTGCTGCACACAAGTCACCCAAAGGACCTGGCGATTCCCGCCCCACTGCCTTGCAAATCATTCAAGACGAGGGCTTGGAAGGCCAATGGTCAGACAAGACTGCCTTCATCACGGGCTGTTCGTCCGGCATTGGCGTCGAGTCGGCCCGCGCTCTATACAAAACAGGGGCAACTCTTTTCCTCACTGCGCGCAATGTTGCTAAGGCCAAGTCTGCTCTGGGAGACGTAGCTCAAAGCCCGCGAGTAACGATCTTGGAACTTGATCTTGAATCACTGGACAGTGTTCGATCATGTGCCAAGGACTTCCTGTCGCGCAGCAGCAAGCTGAACATTCTCATTTGCAACGCTGGCGTGATGATGCCGCCCGAGGGCCGTACAAAGGATGGATTCGAGACCCAGTTCGGCACCAACCACTTGAGTCACTTCTTGCTGATCAACCTCCTTTTGCCGACATTGATCTCCTCCACAACTGCTCAATTCCGCTCCCGCGTCGTCGTGTTGGCGTCCATTGCCCACCGCTTTGGCGAGGTCAACTTTGACAACTACAACTTTGAGGGCAACTACGACGCCATGGCGGCCTATGCTGCCAGCAAGACCGCCAATGTGTGGTGCGCCAACGAGATCGAACGCCGCTTCAAGGACCAGGGCGTCCACGCCTGGAGCGTGCAGCCCGGCTCGGTCCTGACGGATCTGACGCGGCACTTTTCCGACGAAGCCAAGGCCGGATTTTCCAGTGACACGTACTTGGCGTCTATTACAAAGAATCCCGACCAGGGCGCTGCTACCAGCATTTGGGCGGCCACGTCCAGTGCTCTAGAGGGACAGGGAGGCAAATATCTGGAGGACTGTCAAATCATTGGCAAATGGGATCCCAAAGTCGGCCAATGGTCGCCTGGGTACGGCGATCACACATACGACGAAGCCAAGGCCCAGAAATTGTGGGATTTGTCTTTGAAGTTGGTCAATCTTTAGAATCAGGGCGTGATCATTCTCCAAGCGCTTCACTACAAACTCATATAGTTTACTATAACGTTAAATATGTGATTTCAAGCAAACATTTGTCAATTGGTGAACCATTGTGACTAGGTTAGTCGAAATCAGCTCCTACTTATCCCTTGAGTAGACTTGTAGGCAACCTGAACTTTGAATGCAGATTAGGCAACACAAGTCATGAAAAGGACATGATGGGACACAATCTGAATTCTAAATCGTTGCTAATTAGTGTTCCTTTCGAATTCTGTCAAAGGGGGCGATGAACATGTTTGTGAAATACTTGCGGAGGTAGCTCGCCACTAAATATCGCTAAAAATTCTACCTGGTGTCTAACCGGACTTTGGAGATAATAATCTGGGGCGTACGATGGACGGGCTTTACGCAGGCAATAGTGGTAAGCTTGGTTCCAATCAGATCCCGCTAGAACACTCGAACGGAAAAGCTTCTACACAGTATATATACGTAGGTTCAGTTACTCCTTGTGCCGCAACTTAGTATAGCGAGGACGACATTTCTATCCAGCAACTCCTCAAGACGTGAAAATTGCAAATTTTCTTGCACCCTAAAATACAGCACGACTGCTGATCATTTTCATTACAATTTTCAATTACAATGACTTGCAAGCGGGTCATGATCTTTGGCGGTAATGGGCAAACCGCACGATTATTAACGGCAGGAATGCTTGCCAAGGGCTGGAACGTCACGAGCGTAATCCGCAACCAGAAACAAGCAGCGGATATTCTAAAGCTCGGCAAGGCCACTCCAGGTCAGATCGACACCGTATTCGCGGACCTGAAGGCAATAAAAAGCGTTTCTGATGCAAGAAGCTTGATTAGCCAGGCGCAGCCAGAAATTGTGGTCTTTGCGGCAGGTGAGTCCAGTTGTTCATGCTCAAGTATGGCTGCGCATTGCTGACGTGCCCAAGGCTCCCTTTCTCAACCATGTTTGGTTGATAGAGACGCGGCGATTCGAATTATAGAAGCTTCAACGGAGACCGAGTCTGTGAAAAAGTATCTACAGATATCTTTCCCGGCATCTCGGCGGCACAGAGCACCGTGGTGGACAGATGAGGATCACCTGGCTTCCCGCGAGGAGACGTCGAGCTACCCCGATATTCAGCGGGCAAAGCTCGAGGCCGACGAGTTCCTGGTTCGCATGATCAAGGAGCGGTCTTTGCATGGCATCAGTCTCCGGCCAAGCTGGCTGACCAACTCTCCAGCGACGGGCAAGGTCGCGCTGGGGGAGACACCCTCGGTGTCGCAAATTACGCGAGGGGACGTGGCTGCTGTAGCTTTAGAAATATTGATGAGGGACGACGTCAAAGGATGGCTCGACGTAGTCAAGGGAAAAGTTCCAATTGATGAGGCAGTGGAATTGGCCGCCAAGTCGCAAATCGGCGTACTGGGCTGCGAGGACCTATCTGGTGATGTATGAGTACCGAAAGATCCAAGCTAGTTACATGGCGGTAATTCCCGATTGCCAAATTGTCTGATTGTGAACCTATTAAACCAGGCTAGAAAAGTGCACAAATGTAGCTTGAGTTTGGAGAGAAATTAAGATTCATTGATTGACTCAGATATCCCGTAAGACTAATGCTACCGTATCGAATCTTTTCTTAATCCTCAAAATCGACACTTCTAGATATAGACTCAACCGCGCTAAAATTCTCTCTGAGCGAGTCCAACTTGTCGTTGGCAGACTTGACCGCTGGGTTACCTAGCAACAGTCTCAGGTAAGGCTTTTTCAACTCAGCGGCTTTGCCCTGTCCCATGCAAAAGTCAAAAATCGCCTGTGCGGCCTTTTTGGGATCACCCGGTTGCTTCCCATTGGGTTCTTCCAGATGTTCCAAGACCTTGGCGACAGCTGTTCCGCGAAAAGCATCACTCAACGGACGGGCCTGAGAAGCATTCTTTCCCAAGAAGTTTGTACGAAAGGGACCCGGTTCGACCAAGATGAGCCGAACGCCGTGCTCGGCGTACTCCGCGGCGAGGGACTCCGTCATGCCCTCGAGGGCATGCTTGGACCCGGCATAAAGGCTAACGCCGGGTAAAGCCCGAAGTCCTCCTGTTGAACTAATGTTGACAATGATGCCCGATTTGCGCTCCCGCATCCTTGGCAAGACGGCCTGCATTGTCTTGAATACACCAAAAACATTGGTTTCATATTGGGTACGAATATCTGCCTCGCTAGGATATTGTTTCATCAATATATAAGTCAATAGCTAGTGAGCGATAAATCTTCTTACCCAAGGTCTTCGAACGCGCCGTGAATGCTAAAACCGGCATTGTTCACAAGGACATCAATGTGTCCATATATGTCCCAAGCTTCCGACAATACTTTGGAGACATTATCCCCCGAAACATCCAGATTAATCCATGTCCCGCCGTTCTTTTTGATTTCTTCAACTAATTCAGGAGTCTTGGCGGGATTTCGAGAAGATGCAATCACTTTGTGTCCCTTCGCTGATGCGGTGCGAGTTAATTCGAGACCAAAGCCAGAGGAAGCACCGGTGATCAGCCAGACTTTGCTCTCCATTGTGCTGCGTTTGTCAGCGGCAGTTGGACTGGACAAGATGAGAACAAACAAGGTTATCGTTAATGTGCAACAAACATGATGTGCAAAAGTTGTATTTTCTACCGAGCCGACTCATCTTTATACCAAAATGTTGAGGTACAAGGTCCCGAAAATAAAGCATGGAACTGGTGCAGTTCGTTTTAAACCACCGAGATACCATTCAGATTGGCAAAAGCGAGTCGTAGTAAAGAGCCGCTCACAGCATTCGGCGGTACTTTGCTATTCATGTTAGGTTTTCGCCGAATAGAAATGGGTCCCGGGTCGAATGAGCTTATATCCGAAAGCCGAACTCTTTGAGCTAAGAACTTAAAGATGCTTGGAAACTGTATCCATCAAGGCATGTATGAAACATGACCGATCTGTTTGAAAGGGCGGGTTTAAACCAATTTCATCCCGTTCTCACCGGGAGAATCTATATCCAAGCGGGTTGAGCATGTCATTGAACGCATCAAACAAATCTTGTCCTCTTTTTCACTAGGTGAGAGACTGATTATGAACGGATTCATCAGCTGCAGCGGAAATATTGCTTTATCGGATTGCCGGTGCCATTTCATCTTATTCGAATGGAATTAGATGAGATCAAAATCTCCAAGACTATTGAAAAGTGAAGTATCGTAACAAGCTGAATCGACAAAGCCTTGGGACAAATCCAGCAGTACCTGATTCTGTGCATCCTGATCATTCTGTAGCGATCCAAGATCCCTGTTGCCACTCCTCAAGTCATTTATATTATGGCCCGGAGTGATCTTTTCGGATAGCCTGCTGCTCCAGTCATCGATTGACTCGGATAATATCTCGGCCGCGCACGTCCGTACCCGATGAAAAGTCATGCTTGCCGAATCCCACGTACGCCCCGCCACGCGCAAACAGCCCAATATCAGGGTGACGCGGTTGCAGTGGTGATCAAAGCAGTCGTCTGCGTGGCTCAGCGAGGTGGCGAGCTGAATCATTCCGCAGAGCCCCAACGCAGGTGTGATCAACGGGCTGTGTTTGTTCATGTTTGGACATATCGACACGAAATCCGACACGCGTCTAGATGCCTCGGTCGCCTTGATGCTGTGAACGACCCGAGAGAAGGTCGAAGAGAGTTCACTGGGTGTGCAGGGCCAGAATATGTCACCCCGCGGCGGAAGAAGCGGTTGCAACTCGCTACGTGGAAGATGCAGCAACATGGCAGCATACGCAATGGCAATGTGTGCCTGGAACATCATTTCGTCAACGGTGCCGTACGAGTCGATGATCTCTCTTTTCGATGAGGGCAAATGATTAACCCAGCTGACGAGCGCGTTTTCGACCGCTTGCAGTTGATCACGGTGCGGCTCCCGTACTTGATTCAGTACAAGAACGCGGCAAAGTATCATGACGGCATCGATGCGATAGCTGAAGGACGGAAAGATGGTTTCTTCGGCGGAAAAAACTCGGCGCCTGAAAGCCAAGAAGCTGGCAGGGGCAGGAATGCCACTAGCTCTCACGTATAGGGCTTCCTCACAGGGCAATGCCACCTCGGGCGTTGCAATTTGGCAGTGAAATGTCAGTGGCTTGGACGAAATGTTCATGAAAACGTCGACCACGTAGAGCTCCCACCATGTTCTTCGCATGCTCTCGGCCTCGACCGACCGCTCCGAGCCCATGGATGAGGCAAAGCTGCTTCGATGCATGCCTAGCTCGGACGCTATCTGTGCCGATTTCGAAAATGCATCGCGAGCTTTTGAGTAGTCATTACATGCATCAAGATAGATGGCATATAAAAGACAGGCCTGGACCATGGAAGGGGACCGATCTTGACTCATTGTCAATTGAGATTCGACATTGTCCTTCAACTGCTGGCTCGGCTCGGAGGGCAAGTATCGCGACCCGATCAGGTGGACTACCAATTGTAGGAATCGAGGGTATTGTTGCCCATGATAGAAGGCGCTGGGCACTAGAATGGGGTGGGCAAGGTGCAAGTTTTCATAAAAGAGTTTTACCAGGCGATCATCTTGTCGCGTAACATGAGTATCGTTGCAGTTGTTTAAATCATTGTTGTTAGGTAAAGATATGGTGGGTGGATTCGCCCTAATTGAGGTGCTAGAATTATCTGCAGTGGTGCTTGTAGCGCTTCCCACCGCGATGAGCGCTTGGTTTTCGGGCGGACTAAAGCGTGGAGGAGCTTGGTGCATTGCAGGCGAAGTCAGGCTCTAGTAAGTCAATGTCAACCGCCGTGTCCTCTCTTTGAGATTGGGCACAACACACTTGGTCTTGGTTACGAGTATTGTTATTACTTTGCCTCAATTCTGGCTGGCTAGAGCGGAGTGCGTGTGCCGTCGTCCTCCTTCTCCCCCCGCGCCGAGAAGGCAGGTAAAAACAAGGGAGATCGCATTGCGAGCAACGTGAACAGATTGGCTTGCGAGAGTCGCACTTCAGGTGCTGTCGGCGACATTCAGTGCAGGCTAGTGGAGTCGGGCTGCTGCTGCCGGACAGGTGCATATTTGAATGTCTGGCTGGCAGGCAGGCAGGCTGGGTGGTATAATAAGATGATCTTGTTAAGAAATGGCACAGATAGCGGGCATGATGAAAGAGGTCAAGAACGCGAAAAACAGCTGGGCACGCAGTAATGCAGGTAGGTACCTGTCCAGTGTCTAATCTTAGTAGCCAACCAAAGGCCAAGAATTCTTAGCGCCCGCTAATGTCCCACTATCTTTCAAGAAGCAGGTGCCTAAGACACTACGTACATTCATACATTGGCGCAACTACAATAATGAACGTCTTGCCCCGAGAATCATGATAATTAAGAAGTGTGATTGATCTATATCCAAGGGCGCCTCGATGAACCTGCTTGTCGATTTAGTTGTGTGTATCGAAAGGCCACTTGCCGAGGCGATCATTGCCAATTTTCATAACCCATATTTTGGCACATGTGCTGAACACGTGGAATTGAAGCCGCTTTTTGTAAGGCTTGCAGCTTCTCTCATGTAGATATCATACACTGCGGATGTTTATACATATATCAGGCGTTGCCAAGTGCTAATGTCTAAATGGACGTAAAAATAGGAAGCTATTGCCCCTGCACTAAGGTCATCCACTTGTTCGCTTCCAGAAGCATTACTCTTATCTTCATGTACTAGACGTTATGAAACGGCGCTTTCCAAATACAGTATACCATACAAGGGCACTATACACATCCGTTTCCAGCAGATTGCTCCCGGTTCAACACCTCGCCGCAATGCATTCAAAACGCTTCTGATCTCGGCCGGCACTTTCTTGGGCAGCCGGGAAACAATTCATGGGCTGGTTTGTGAGCGGAAAAGTATTTCCAAAGATTCATTAATGGCCGTGAAATCATCCATGCCTGTACTGACTACCTAGAGAGTGGCGTGGTTTGTATGATACAAGCCCATTGGGGCGTGGCTATCCCCACTCGCTCTATCCTATCGCTTCTAACCGTGCTATCTATCCCTTTTGCCATTCATCACATTGTGACCAGTTTACCGCCTTTCAATTTGCCAATTTCCGATGAACCATGCATTACAACTTACGACTTGACAAGATCTACGAATCTGTGACAATTTTGGGAAGCCCGAAACCTTCACCGTCTCCGAGGCCACGTTGTTCGGCGATTGAACCGGACGTCGGACTTCGCCGCGGGGATCATCTCAGCTCTAAGTGGCTAGCCTAGGAAAGCTTATAGTCAATCGCCGACTCACTCTGTTGATGCACGAGCGTCTTATCTCTGGACAAGCATCCTAACAGGGTGTCTTATATGATATCACGGTTGGCTTAATGCAGATAATGTACCATCAATCTTGCTTGTTATTTTTCTATCTACTATCAATCCTCGTCTGTAGAAGCTGTCCAGAAACTGCGACAGAACATCATGACCACTATTCAGCCAATGCTACTACCCGTCCATACCAATCTGAGCGCGATGCCCGACTTGTGTACGAAACGTTCATACGAAATCAATCGATACTATGGCCAACGCTTCTCTGCTGTCGTCATCGGCGGAGGTGCCGCTGGCATAGCTGCCTTGGGCAATCTGCTCGAGGATGGAAAGACCGATCCTATCGCCTGGGTCGATACCGAGTTCCGAGGCGGCAAAGTTGCGTGCGCGTACGACGAGGTTCCTAGCAATACGCGGGTGAGCTTTTTCATCTCGTACGCCACGGCCGTCGCGGCATTTCGGGAGGTCATTGAGAGCACGCCCACGCCCAATGCATTCACAGTCCTTGCAGACCTCCCCCAAGATCAGACGTGCTCGCTCAAGTACGCTGGAGATTTGCTACGAATGCTCTCCGACGGACTTGCAAGAAACAAGCGTGTGCAGTGTTTCCGAGGCTTGGTCACGGCCGTCACTTCAAAAGACGACGTAGGTTTCAGCTCAGCCACCTCAATCACACTCGCGTAGTACTAACAGCAAAACTCTAGGATTCGACATGGTACCTTGGTTTCCAAGCTGATGGCACCCAAGCACAGCAGACGCTACATGCTGCTCGAGTTGTTTATTGTACTGGCTCGACTCCAACAGTCACTACTCTCCCTGGTCTTGTGGAAAAGAAGCCGTCGCTGCTGCACTTGGATCTAGCACTCAAACCCAGTGCGCTCCGCAAAGCCATATCCCCCAGCACAAGAACATCAGTTGCCGTAATTGGCGCATCCCACTCGGCCATACTGGTACTTATGAACCTAGTACGCATAGTGCGCAGTTCACATCCGTTGTTGCAAATAAAGTGGTTCACACGCTCCCCGACGCTCAAGTACGCCATGTACCAAGATGGAAAGATTTTCCATGATAACACAGGTCTGAAAGGAGAGGCCGCCGAGTTTGCGAAAGAGATGAAGCTTGATGCAGAAACATTTGAGACCAGTTCTCTCCGCGATATCGTCACGAGAGTGGACTGTTCTGGCGGCGCCACAAAGGAGGCAGAAGCCTACCAGCGTGAGCTTCCCGGATGCGATCTCATGATACAAGCTATCGGCTTTACGCCAAATCAATTACCCGACATGAACAGAAAACTACAATATGACCATCAGACAGGCCAGTTTTTGGACGCAAGGTCACGGACGGTGGTGTCGGGCTTGTACGGTGCCGGTATCGCTTTCCCGGAGCGCGTTGTTGACCCCTCAGGAGATGAGGAGTATGCTGTTGGGTTCTTCAAGTTTATGAAATTCTTAAAGAGGGTCAGCCCACAATGGGTGTTGAAGACAGATTTCAGCTTGCAGGACCAACCGTCCATATTAGAGGATATCTCAGCCGGTTCGATCTCCGTTGCAGGATGACTCAAGCGATTCGATATGCCACGGAAGATGGCAATTTCTGTTTTACCTTAGCGATGGTGTTTATTTCAATTTTTTATTTTCATAACTTTTGTTGAGACAAGGCAGCCCTTGATCCACTTGCCAGCTGTTCTTCAACAAACTACGTAGCATGTATCTATCCATGTGCACAATGAGATAAGACGTCTTCTCTTAGTATCCATCTTATCGAAGCACTGCGGCGCATTCCCCACTGCATGAAACACTCGACGGTATTGAAGCGTGATTTGACTTATTTGACTTTCAGTTGAAAAAGTGAATATTTTGACCCAATCGTAGTGTAGCCACTTTGTAGCCACTATCTAAGTTGTAAACGTGCGAACTGAAGGCCAAATAGAATATATACATGGTCAGCCATTGGCCTTGAACAACTATAGAGGAACAAAACCAGATCTGGATAACATGAAACAGTGCGCTAAATTGTAACAGTTCAAAATAAGAGTCCGATTCAACAATGAATTTAACAAGCCCGCGCCGCCATTAATCCTTCGATATATGCGCCTTTGCTTGTTGAACGAAAGTAGGTTTCCCAGTCTGGGCATTGTAGATATGATAACCATAGTCGGCCGCATTTGGGGGTGTATATACTAAACAAGATTAGTCGAGGCGTTCAATTTTACAGATGGGAAAGACTCACGGTGCAGTGACACAGCAATATGGTCAGGGCTCGGATTGGCCACGCGATGCAATCCAATCTGATCGCTTATGTACGCTACTTCGTTGACTCCATACGTGCGAGCAGATTCTTCCTCCAGAGGCCGCGAATCCGAGGCGTGATTCTCGCACGGCCGATAGACGGTCTCGGTCAAGCTGCCAGCCAAGATTTTCATCAAGCAATGCGCATTTGCATGGTCGTGGATTGGCGAGCCTTTCCCTGGATTCCACACTAGCAACAACTTCATCTTGATATTAGCTGATATCCAGCGATGTGTTGATCAGAAAACCTACAATATTGGCCTTTTGATTTATGTTTTCAATGGCGTTGCGAGTATAGGCCTTTGATTTATCATTGTAGAAGAATGGTAGCCAATCCTCGCAGTTTGATTGATATTTTTGGAGGAGTTTCCTTAGGTGTTCCTCGTCGACATCGCTAGAACTAATGCCTGAAGAGCTACCCAGGTGTTGTTTGATGTCGATGATGAGGTCAGACAGGGTATAGGACTTTTTTTGGGCATGGCCGGACTCGAGCTTCCCGAGCAGTGGCAGAGGGCTGGAGGCAATAATAGACATGACAATATGGTTGAAGATGTTTAGTGGTTTGTTTTTTTATTTCCCTTTCAAGATTCGACAATAGTTTTCGAGTCGTGCTTCGATACAAAGACAGAGATACACATCTTCTTAAGCTACTATTCGTACTGGACATACAGTCAACCATTACAATCAGTTCATGTGGGTCGAGTTAGTTCATTCGGCGATTGAGCGTCTCAACATCATTGGCTAGTGCAGTTGCCATGATAATCACCTGCCATAATCATCGTCCACCACTCGAATCAGAACGGCGATTCAAATGGTCTCATATGATCGGCCCTCGGGGAGTACAAATAGGGGATTCAAGAAACGCGACGTTATCTTCAGGCTCATGTTCTTTTACCGGTGATGCGTATTGGCGACAGGGCACTACGCAGCCAACACGTGTGAAGCTACTCCACTCTGAATGCGCGTTCATTGACGCTAGAAGTACTGTAAATGGCGTGATGGCTACGCACATGGTGGGATTCCGCCTGAAGGTCCAGAGTCTCGAGTAAGGCATTGATAACAAAGCACAAAAATCGTGCCTACTCAGGGGTCCAATGTTGGTTGTTTATATGCAAGCAATGTACATACCTAGGACATTAAGCGCCAACACATTTATTTATTATTCTTATGCAAGGGTGCATGTTCGTAACATTAAGCTGCTGATATGCAGCCCTTGTCACGGGTCACCACACAAAGCTAAGTTTTGGTTAGGTATATGTGGGGTGCGATGTGAATTACCAAAGTTGGAGAACTATCAAATCAGCCAACCAATAGTGTGGTGGTGATCGGGGACAGCGTGCACTATCCTTACATAGGCTGTGATGGATCAGCGCCATCGCAGTGTGCTATATAATATCTTAAGTAGCATCCTTCAGCCATGCGATGCCATTGGTAACAATCTGGTAAAGCATTCCATTCGGCGCAAGCTGGGTTGGTGAGAAGTTGTTGTTAAAATTTCCGCCCGCACCTGCTCTTGCTCGCCAAATTTCCTCCCCCGATGTGAAGTTGATTGCAGTAAAGTACCAGACATACTGGCCATCCAGCGCGAGTGTGTCGTCCTGTGTATATGCATAGACGATCCCATTTGATGTGGAAAGACTAAGGACACTCGTAGCCCGGATATCGGACTCCCATCGCAGGGTACAATGGCCGTCAACAGAAATATCAACGCGATCAATACCGGGAGCTAAAGAAGCAAAACTATTGAAGTCACCATTGATGTTATCTGAAACATCAGAGTTTTGCATTGCCGGAGCCCCATAGTTGTTGTTTATAAGGACGCTATAAGTCGAGCCGTCCACATGCGATACCATCGCGTTCTCGTTGGCACTGGCGTTTGGCTTGAATAGCGGAATTTGACAAACAAAACTTGATCCTCCTTTTGAGCTGTGCTTTTCATAATCTTCGGCTTGGCGGTAGACAACTAGGTTCACTTGGCTGTCGGCATTATCGGTGATAGCAACATATTTGTTGCCAACTAATGTTGGAGATGATCCAGAGCCACGCGCGAAACCTCCAGGCTTCAGTGTGCTGCCGGCAGAATAGCTCTCGGTCCAAACAGTCTCGACGCCGGCAGTTCCATCAGCTTGGAAGGCAAACATGTAGCCAGAAGCATTCGATTGGCCACTATCGGTGAGTGGCCCTGAGTTGATATAAACCGTTCTGCCGTTAATCGCCATTGAATTCTCAAACATTTGGCCCTCGACACTCTTTGTATAAACAGCTCCCGACGGGTTGATGAACCCAATCATCGAGGAGTTGTCATTTGATCCCATACCAGGTATTGGTGTAGCAGCGAACCAGAGATTGCCAACAGAATCATACATGGTGCTCATTGGGGAATGGCCGGTGGACAGGATGTTCGACAGATCGATATCCAGCAGCTCCCTAAAAATAGTACCGTTTGCACTATCCTCGCGCTGAACTCGGAAAACATGTCCTTCCAAAGTCGGAAAAACTAGACTGCCGTTGACGACTTCGCCGTAGGGTGAAAACAGTGTCTGGTTTTCCGGAGCCCATGTTGCTAACTGCGTAAGGCTGACAGGGTCGAGAGCTGCCATACAAAAATAAGGTTGTGTCTCATTGCAGACCGATCTCGCAATTAGGTGATGGTCATTCTGCCAGAATTGCGCAGATATGCCGATTGACCGACTTCCGGCTTCCGGCTTACTTCCAAGTGGCCCGATGCAATCGGTTGTTCTCGAGTTTCCACCATCCTGATGGAATCCGACGACTTCAGGAAGGAAACGAGTTTTTGGCTCGAGCAGTTGCGGCGTTGCCTCGCTGCCAAGGAAAGACGGCCCAAGAATATCCTGGCTATCAAGGACGACTCCAGTGTCTACGGGTATTGTCGGCGACGTCTACAACTTATCAGCATAATCATCCTCTTCTTCGGGGGAGGGAGTAGAGAGGAGCCACGGTGAGCCGAGAAATATTACACACCAACTGAGATAGGATGTGCCAAGGCAGCACAGCAAGGGCCAGAAGCGTTATCGTCCTTTCCGTCATGATAAGTAGGTAAGCTTTGTTCTTGTGAATAATAGTCTTGGTGTTAGAAATATGGGACGAAGAAAAAGGGGAAAAAAGAGTCTACCACGAACGCATCTCTTATATGCCATCGCTCTCTTTCTATAGAATATTGCCACTGACAGGACGGCTCTCGAGCGGACACTGGTTAGGGGAGTATTTGGGCAGTGTTAGAGAAGGTACAAATAACATCAATTAAACATGGTTTCTTGGCATGACCAGCGACGTCCAAACTAACACCTACAATAGTTCCAGGCCTGTGACTGCGTGCTAGTACGTTGCTAGCTTTGCAGCTTCAATCCTCGTGTTCGTGGGGGTGGGGAGCGGATCCCCGCATTTCAGGCTATGCTCAATCGTATTCTCTTTCGGTTTCTCTTATAATCAGCGTAGCACCCCCAATGCCCAGTTCCTCAAAATTGTTTTTTTTTTGTTCCCTCCAGCTGCACAAGTGTCTGTCCGAGCAAGACTGCATCCAAGAGGAGTGTAGACAATACAGGGTTTACCGAGTGCACAGGACACTCGAGTACATAATATGGCAACGACGCAGCGAATTACTAGAATTGGACACCGGAAATCACGGAACGGCTGCTCTAGGTGCAAAGTCAGGCGAGTAAAGGTACGCGGCACAATTGACTTCAGATGGTAGAAATATCTAACACTACCGGCCGCCTTTCCAGTGCAACGAAGCTGTTCCGTGTCACAATTGCGCCCGACATGGGGTCCAATGTAGCCTCAGCCAATCAGTCCGGCGATCCTCTACTCGTGATTCTATATCTCCTCCGAGGGTCTCAGGGGCTGCAATTTCAGAATTGTCAGCAAGAGCAGGAGGCAACTCATCCAAGCCCAACAATGCATCCACCCGTTCGGTAGGACTGGGAACACAGGAGACGAGCGGGATATCTGACCTGTGCATGAAGATCAATGAAGCTAGGAGATTAATGCTGGAGGTCTCGGATACCCTTGGCTCCTCCGAAATCGTCTCGAGTACCCATGCCCCGAAGAGCTATAGCCCGCACGATGAACACGAACGCGAGCTCGATGAATGGAGCGTGCGCAATCAAATGCAGAGCTTGCGCCTTTTGCACCATTACTTCTCATCAGCATACCGCCTCCTGTCTTACGAGACTGCTACTGCTGAGTTATGGCGAACCACGGTACCAGAGATTGCCCTGACTCATGTGCGCGACCGAATACACTATTTAGATTCAACTGTTCAACTTATGCTAACAATCGTCATAGGAATATCTGATGCATGGCATCCTGGCACTTTCTGCTCTTCACTATGCTCATACCAATTCCACCCAGCGTGAAGACCACTTAGTCATTTCTGCTCGCTACCAACAGCTCGCTTTGAAATTCTTCAGCGGTAATATCGGCGCTGTTGATGACGGTAATTGCGAGGCGTATTTTCTTCTTTCTTCTATAATATTCCTGCTTTCCACTTTTCGGATTGCCCATTCAGGCGACAGTGGGGAGCGGCCTAGCCCTGAGACTGTGGCACAATCCTTTGTTTTGTTGCAAGGAATCAAAGGAGTCCTCGCCAGTCAGTCGCTGCAGAGGTGGGTAGTTGGAAACCCCCTGGCAGTACTCCTGTCACCTCGGCCTTACGATCAAAGTAGGCACGAGCTTAATTCGCAGCTGCAGGACCGTATATGTCGAGTGCGGCAGCTTGCTGAGGAGGATTCAGGTTTCTACAATGATGAAGAGTTGCGCTCAAACTATATCGATGCCATTGATTTATTACAAATTACCTCCACTTGGGTCGATCCTTCGTCGTCAGAAGGCAGGCGCAGGGTGTGGTACTGGCCTTTCAACTTATCGCAAGCATTCCTCCACTCTCTTCGCACTCGACAGCCACTGGCTCTCATCGTACTGTCAATTTTTGCACAACTTGTCAGTTCTCTCGAAGCAGAAAACTGGCTACTAGATGGTTGGAGTAACAGCGTACTTGGTATGATTGATGAAACGCTAGATCGGCAGTGGCGGCATTGGTTGGGTTGGTCGCAAGAGCAATAAGGTCAATCCAGTATATTAGCTCGGATCGGTTGCACCCGCTAGAGAATTCCTTCCTATGTATCTCGAATCTTGGCTTCAGCCTCCAGCTTGACTCAGATCAATCTGTCTCTGTGATGCCATGCGACATCATCATTGAGTCGAAGGTTGAACACGAGTTCGGCATATTGATGCTTACGGGACTTTGTATGGGCTTGAGCTGGTGGCATTATGCATTCATCTCCCGGTATTGTCGGAACAGTGTTTAGGTAGCCACTATTCATTTAAGATCACCACAGGCGGGACCCAGGTGGCCATGTTTAAGAGACGAAAGAGAATGAGTGGATATTGATGCCGGGCCTATGTGACCCGCGAAGAGATACCCAGCAGAACGGTAGACCCAATTGTTTAAGGTTCCAACCCCTACGAAGCAAATCAACTGGCAAAACCATCGGGTTTGTCCCTGAAGCTACTAAATTGGACTGGATCATAATAAGCACTCACTAGGACAGCCTCGCACTGGGGAGTGCTGTCTTCACCATGGCTCTCGTTGCAAGACAACAACCTCCCAAACAACAGTGGCACTTGGAAGGCCCAGCTTTCATTTTCGTCAACGCTATCGAGAAACATACAATGACATGGCTCGACGTTTCTTTCAACCCTCAAGACCTTCTAATACTATTCATGCAAGCCAAAGACCAATTCACCAGCTTCACAAGTACGGCGCACCGTATTAAAAACAGTCACCGAAATGCTCCAGATGCGAATCTGGCAGGATGAGGGCTCTTCATACGCTCTGCAGAACAAAAACAACCAACAGAAACGCAATGATGTGAACCCGGAAACAGCCTAGGATCCTTACATTGGTGAGGGTCTGGACCCAGTGATGATCTGGACAATGACGAGGCTTGGGATGGAGATTTAAACAATAAGTGGGTATGGGAATCGATAAGACGAGTGCGTTAAGATGTTGGTCTGAACCTTTTCTTGACCCCGTCTCCTCTGGTAAAAACATCGCCTCAAGGCGGCGGCGACCGTTTTGCTGCTGTACGGCGAGAGTCGCAAAATGTGTCGAACATGTCAAAGTGTAGGAATAAATGGGGCGCTTCTCCACATGTATATGTCTTTGACCATCCAACCTCCGTTGGATGTGAACAACTCAACTAATCCAACAACTACTACCCATACCTATCATATCTTTTCACAGAAAATTCTCAGCCTTGAGTGCCATAGTAGTGGCGTGGGGATTCTATGTTGGAAAACCAGAGATACAAGAACTATAGTGTGAAGAGGGTGCATTGTAAGGGATAAGGCTAGGTACCTAGTAGTTGGATCCCGCGATAAAGGCACAATGGGGAAATGTTCCAAATGCGCCCGTATCATGTCAGATCCAGTGGACTCCAGGAAAATTGTTGATCGTAAGCCCCAAAAGACTTTACACCCTCGTTGGGACCAAGATTCTTAAACAGTGCGATGTTGCCCAAACAATGCCATTTCACAGCCCTCCAGGATCATTGCTATACCACGACTTTCTCATCCCCCTGGCTTCTGAACTGCCCAGACATATGCAAAATCAATTAGCTGCGCGGTGCACCTTAAATCCATCAGGTCATTACAAAACTCATCTGGGTATTTTCCAAGCGGTCAGCGGAAGATGGTGCTAGGACTTTGATCGGAGCTACCGGATTCGGTCGGAAAGCGGTAGGCTGTGGACGAATAAAGAGATTGACACGTAAGTTTCGGTATGCCACGATGCACGCCCTACTTTTATTGAGAATTCGCTCATCTCCAAGTTTCCATCTTCTAGATTGAATGAATTGTAGGATAGTGAGAGGTAAAAGAGTTGAGTAGAGAGACATGCCACGAGACTCTGGCTCTTCTGCAGCTATACCTCCCAGCGGACTATGCGCAACAGCAAGTCTCTGCACAAAATTTACAAGAAAGCCAGTCTGAAGCTACTCCATAGTGAATGTTTCCCATCAAGGAGTTCGTGCAACTGTTGACAGCAAAGGTTGAACACTACCCTCAGGGCAGATATGCTTTGAACGCTATGATATGCTCAACTCTAGCTCCGGATGCAGGCAGCCATGATCTTCAACTGATTGATATGTTGATTTTGGAAAGATTTCGCTCGAATCTCGGCAGAAGAATTCCATAAGGCTGTGAGCAACAGGGATAGATGCACAGTGACCCGTGTTCAATGCTTGGCGCATTTGAGAGCACCAAATTGTTCAAACTCGTCCAATGGAGGATCGTATCACAGTATTTCGGCATTTAATCAATACCCAAGGGGCGGAGCGTAATGCGGATGACTTCAAAAAGCCGTTCCCATATAGGGCTGAGAATGCGTACGCAGGTAGGACGACGCTACGCAACTGCACAAGCTGGCGCACCAACATGTATCGAAACAGTTTTCAGTCTTGCGACCAATCACAGTAAAAGTTGGGAGTTAATCCATGGAATCATGAAGCAAGAGGCGCAATGTGTTGCCGTTTCAACGAGTCTCGTCAATTTGGAGATTTCCCCCTTTGAGAATCATCCCCTCACTCGGTGGGGTTGGACTGAGTTCGCAAGGCGACAGCGATGAAAGGGGTTGTTCTTGAGATGTTGACAGCCTTATCCTATGGGGCTATGCAGACATACCATCGGTAATATGACGCGGATGGTGGATTGTGTTTTCACCGGCACTTGTAGGACCATTGCCGACAAACCTGGATTCCACATGGCCTCTTGAAGAGGGGCTTGCAGCCTGCAGTCTTCCATTTGTAGAAGTGTCGCAACTTATCCAAAGCCCTTGTCATTTATTCACATTTGACCAGGTAGACAAAAGCTTGATACACAACAGGCGCGACTCACCACACCATGCATGTACGACTGTGCCGTGGTGACGTCGATTTGAGGGCTGAACAGCATGAAGCCCGAAATGAAGGAGGCAGGGGAGGCAGGGCTAGTATTCCAACAACCTGGTTGAGTGCCGCATTGGGTTTTGCTTCCGCAATGCTCGGTGCTACTGTCATTCGATTTGGCCATCTTCAGGATCCCGAGGAAGACCTCGATACAGACGACATATTGGTGTACCCAGCTGTGGGGTCTATCGCCGCCTCTGTTCTCTCTGTTTTCGTGTACTTGACGCTCCAGACAGTTGCAACGGTCATGAAAACCTAAATGACAAAAGTCAAGAGAGCTGACACAGCCCAGACAACTTCTTCAACAACTAAAAGAGCGGCAAATCAGACGCAGTGGCAGCTGGGATATTGATCCTATTCAAGTACAACCAATGAGTACCTGGTAGGTGGTGGGGGATTCAGAGGCGTGCATCAACATAACGCGGGGACCTAGCCATATGCATAGAGTGATGTACACATTCATCGAAGTAGGGTGGCAGCTGAGTAAGATATGATCCTCTTTGACTGCAACCCAAGGGTCGAAGCTTACGACCATATCATATGATATGTACACCGCAGCTACATGTAAGAAAAGAGGTACTTACGTGCAGCATGGGTACAGATTAAATCCGCAAAGATTGGAGGCGGCGCAGCGAGAGGCGCACCGGGGTACCCAAAGCGATTCTGGTGGCTGCGCTGACACAAAAAGTGGGAGTCGTCCGTACCGAGAGATGGCTTGCAGCAGCCATCTCTCCATTCTTGTCAACACAGCTGGTTCCAGCCATTTCATCAATACACCAGAAACTTCTCACTGTCACTGTTATGGACCGTCTTGATCACAGTTATGGAACACTTGAACTCAACACAGTTGGAGGCGTTACTGAACAGCCCGGCGCTGGCTCCCCCACCCGGAGTTGTGGCACAACTGGATAACCCACCCAATCATAGGGCTGCATCAACGGGTGTATCCGTTGTCTTCTTAACTGTTGCAACTTTGGGGGTTTTTATGCGATTGTATACTAAAGCTTTCGTCGTTCGGAAGGTTCACATAGCAGACTGTATGTGCTCACATGTGAAAGGCGATTCAAACTAACACCTACCGTCTCAGATGCACTGCTCGCTGGATGGGTACAGCACCTGGAAAATATATCAATAAGGGCGTATGCTGATGTATCTAGGCATTTTTCGTGGCAATGACCGTCGCAGTCCTGCTTATCACCGTTGCACCTGGTGTACATCAATGGGATCTGCGAATGAGAGATCTGAGAACCTTCCTCCACGTGAGTCAACTTCACCTGAGAGCGTACAATTTCACAATTTTACTTCTACGAAGGCAACAGTCACAGCCCTAACGTTCATTCATCTAGTCTTTTTACATAGGATCTATCCTCTATGGAATATGCATGTGTTTGATCAAGATCTCCATCTTGACGCAATATATTCAAATCCTCATGCCCTTTCGCCAACCCAAGGTCATATATTGGCTCACAGTCTCCCTCATCGCTGCCAACGTTGTCTTTTACTTTGTCATCACGTTTTTGCTAATCTTTTCCTGTAAACCAATGGCCAAAGTATATGACCCCCTGGTTACGGAAGGACACTGCCTCGAAGTGATGCAGCGCAGACTGTTCGCTGCCATCACGAGCGCTGTCAATACGGCAATGGATTTCATTATCTTAATTCTGCCGCAGCTAATTATCTGGCGGCTCGCAATGTCCCTTCGTCAAAGGCTCGCTGTCTCTTTCGTCTTCATGGTAGCCACTTTGTGAGTACCTCTTCTTTACACCTCGCATAATGCCCGCTGATCAATATAGCGCTTGTGTCTCATCGGTCGTTCGTTTGTTTTATGCTGCGAGATTTGCAGACCAAGACGACAGAAGCTATTACGCATGGCTTGTTGGTGTCTGGACGATTCCCGAGGCGGGCACTGGCATTCTCGTCGCATCTCTGCCCACTACACGGGTTTTCGTTCAACACGTTACGCAGAGCAAATTGGTGTCGAACATTATGGCGTCTTTTGGAGTAGTCACGTCTAAAGGAGCTAGGTCTGATGAGCGGTCCAGCTTGGCGGATACATATCAAAAAGTTCACGAAAGTCCTTCGCATCTCACCGACCGATCTGCGCCAAAAATCAGAGTCGAAAGAAGTTGGCGCACCAATTTCAATTCGGGCTCAGAGACGGTCAACGACACTCTGGGTAACTTGTCCGAGGATGACATGATACGTCCAATTAGTGATAACTCAGCATATAACCATGAGCTTTCCACACTTCCTCATAAATGGACGCCCGTGGGCCATAGCAGGGATACTGCTGCCTGAGGACTTGATTTACATTATGCACATAATTTCAGTTAGTCTCCCTCGTTTCCGCGTTCGCATTGCCCAATGTATCTAACAATAACGATTTAAAGCACCAGAAGTTGTCTTTTGGCGTAAAAGTCTGCTGAAGTGCCGAAAAGACAAGTAAAAACAAATTGAGGCGAGAAGGCATATGTATAAAAAAAAAAACATACAACACCGAGGATTCCCCAGTGGTCACCCACCTGAGTACTGATTCGGCGGTTAGTTGCTTGATTAGGGCAGAGCGAACGGGATGCCATATTTTCAACTACCTGTGGTCGTATGTGCTTGAAGAGACTACCATCTTCTGCTATATTGTGCCCAAAATCTGTCCTCTTTCTTCTCTGGAGTAAGTTTAATTTTCATATCCGTATCCTTTGGATATAGCCACTGGTGCCACGCTCATACCGTCGACGAAGCACTATGTACCTAGGATAGTACTAATGGTATTTTGTGATATTAGGATGAGATACCAAGGCGACATCTTTCGCTACCCCTTAATCAATGTGACGGATGATTCAGTGCGACTCAATCACACCACCGAGTCGATTCTCACCTGAGCCGATGTGTAAAGGGAGAACTGAAGACGAGATGATCGAGGAAGCATTGAAAGTTGTCCGAGTTGATCTCTAGTCTACAAAAGAGAGGTGCTGAAGAGCGAACTGAATACCCACGCAGGTGGTCTGCGGTGGGTACTGACTACGTCAGTACGACATCGACACTACTTTATCAGACGCTTCGTTACAAGACGTAGTATCCATCACAGCCACTACGACGCGTACGACAAGAGACCAGACAGTGGTAAAGGTTACCACTGCAGCCAGGACCAGCCATGTATAAAAGACAGGCACCTGGCCAAGTCCACGGTCACCCGATAGGAGCGCCGTGGTAGCTCCCCAGCCAAAGGACGCAATCCTCAGAGCATTCACGAGGTCTCCACACCGGACTGGCGTTGGCGGTGCCCACGTCGTTGCACAGCCATACCGTGAAGAACGCGACGACGTTGGGCAACACGGACCGATGGCCGAGCCCCGTGGCACTCGAGAAGAGAAACGGCCGTGCTGCGAGGTGGGGAGCCACCTTGGCATCGGCCCGGCGTGAGGGGTCCCGACGGGATCGGGCGGCAAGGGCCGTTGACGCCATCTTCCACAACGAGATCCCCGGGCCGCTGGCTGGCGAGGTTGAAGACGGGAGGTTCAGCCATAGTCATGTCAACATTTGAGTTACAGGAGATGTGACCGTAACGGCGGCTTCGGGGGTAGCACTCAGCTCAGCAAGAGCAGCTGCGCACCCACCCACAGCTTGCGGCCCAATCATTGTCTTGAAGTCGCTTTTGGTGAAGAGAAAAGCGGTGCGCATATGGACCACTAGCGATCGTTGCTATAAAGAGCAAGTATCACCATTACTCGTATTCATTATTGCGCGATATCCGCCAGGTCATATCAGAAAAAGCAGGAGCTCCGTACCAAGCTCAGGCAGTATAGAGACATATTTGCGCTGCGGCAACATTGTTATCATGAGATGGCTTATTAATCAGTTGCTGGAGTGTGTCATACTCGCCAACTCAGCATTGATGTGCGCTGCACCTCATAATATCGCCATCGCTGATGTGCGAATAGCCGCTAGTCCTTATCATATTGCTCTTCATCGATAAACAGGAGCCAGTAAAGAACAAGTTATACTACTTTGAAGCTGGGTCTTTGTGATACGACTGCAACTAGCTAGATGTGTATACATGCCCGCCCCCACTTGTGGAAGAGTTTCCGAGTTCATCAACGTGTAGTATCAGTGAGCTGACGAGCTTTGTAGCCCTACTTGATGTTGAAGCTGAGCACGGGGGAAAAGGTCATGTAGAGTACGACCCGCCTCCTCCGCCACGCTTTTCGATATGGGAGGCCCCTGACAGGCCGTGGACCCTTTCTTCTAGGATCATATGGTGGGTCTCATATTCCATGTGTTTGCTCACCATGCCCCCCATGCCCACCGTGCCAACCATGCAAAACGGTGTGGAGTCCAACTAGTCATGGCCTGACAGTCAGGCCCTGACTGCTGACATGATGTGTTGCAGGTATTTTCTCAATTGAGAGCAGTGAAGAACGCCATCGACAGTTTCTACTCATTAGCGGATACAAATTGCCGCGTTTGCCCTCAAATTTTTTGACATGGCTTGCATGGTAGAATAAAAGTAGTAGGAATAGCAGAGTTGTAGTGTAATCAAAGTGTTGCATTAGCCAAGTTGGAAATACACAGTAGCAAAGTACTGTCTAGATTCCCGTCGAATCCCTTTCAGGGTATCCCGTGACCCCATGGCACTTTTCCGGGAACCCCCGGGCCTTTAGCTCCTCATAAAAATGGACCCGTTGCCGGGCCGTATATCATACATAGCTTGCCGATGGATTGTCGTTCCGTCCCTTGCTGTGTGGACAGCAGATGTATCTCATGGCGAGATTAGATACTCAACACTAGGAGAACAGTGTGGCAATAGAGACACGTATCACAGTGCGATGTCTTTCTGTTGAATGGGTTGTTTCTCTTCTTGCAAACGTGATTGCTCTGCTGCTATGGTATAATGGATGAAAAACGCTCCAGGGCAGGTACCGGATTCAAAGCAGGGGTTCAGTGTTTGCCAGTCGACTAGTCTGCGTGCAGCTTTGTACGTGTCCTTGCGTGTCTCCCCAGACGAGAAACTTGCCCCACTGCGTTTTTTCTTTGGCCCAATACCGTAGTATAGCGATTTCCGTAATTTGCCCGGGCCGTTATCTATGGGTTCCGAAGTTTTGTGGACTGCATGTGAAGGGACTTTGGTGAAATGAACTGACTCTCTTGTATAGGGTCCTTAGACCATGTATAGGCGTGAAACTGGTCAGCGCACGGCGGTTAAATAAGCCAGGTTGACCCCATTCATGAGACTTTACTGACTAGTTGCAATCTAAGATCATACATGTCTACATGTGCTTAGTGTCACTCACTCTCTCCATTGCCTATATTTCTTGTCAACGCTTGATTCAATATGACTACCACTACTACTACGTACTCGAGCTGCGAGCATGAAATCGTGCTTCGTGGTTCAGACTCCACACAGCCAGCTGCCTCATTCTACTTCCCAAGGTTGCTGCGCAATTTTGACTGGAACCGAGGCTTCAACGTCCATTACGAAAAGGCTAGGGCGGAGTCTAACTCTTGGCTATTCTCATTGCATCCTTTTTCAAAGGAAGGCCAGAAGGCGTTTGAAGGGTGGGATTTTCCTTACCTTGCTGCGGTATCGTACTATGGAGGATCTTATAGTAAGTCTACCAATGATGCCTTATTGAACACAACTCAGCCTTAAATAGGCACGTTCCGTAGTATTTGCGACATCACGAATGTGTTCTTCGTGATCGATGAACAAACGGACGCAGAACCAGTCGACGTGGTTAAAGAACGTTGTGAAATGGCTATGGACGCCATCCTCAGACCAGAGGAACCCCGTCCCGATGGAGAATGTGTCATCGGCGAGGCGACAAGACAGTATGAATTTCTTAGTAAAATGTCGTTCTTTCACATTTCTGACCCCAATCCAGATGTTGGAAACGCGCATATCCAGAGCTCCCTCTGGTGATAATCGAAAGATTCCAAAGAACATGGCGAGCGTATCTAGACTCCGTCATAAGGCAAGCTGAAAACCGGTCACGACAACGTATTTTGCACCCCGAGGAATACCTTCGCGAGCGCGTCGACAACATAGGCATATGGCCCTCTGTTGCAATTGGCGAGCAATGCCTAGGCCTTCAGATTCCTCACGAGTGTATGGAGCATCCGTATCTAGAGGACATGAGGACCTGGTGCAGTGAGCTGGTCACTTTGCAAAATGTGAGTACTTGAATGCTATGAGGGAGTGTAGCTGACATTCGCAGGATCTGTTCTCGTACAGGAAAGAGCGGTTGGCAGATGATTGTGACTACAACGCCATAACCACTGTAATTCACCATTTGGGTCTTGATCTCCAAGAAGCGGTGCGGTGGGTCGAGGAGAGACATGAAGCTACTCTGCAAAAGTTCCTGAAGACCCGAGAAAAGGTTATTCATCATGACGGATATCCTTCCTACGGCGCGGATCTTGATACCCAAATTGCCCAGTACACAGGAGTTCTTGCTGATTGGATTCGTGGTAACTACGAATGGAGCTGGTATACAAAGCGGTGAGTTTCTTGCACTTATATCTGCTGAATTAAACTAATTAAACCAAAAAGCTACTGGTCCTCGGAAATGGCTCAGAAGGCCAGGCAGACTCGGATTGTTCCCCTGCTTTAGGCACAGGCTTGTCGATGATTCATTGCTGCAGGTTTTTAAAGCATTGATAAGGGTGATCAGATTAGTTTCATAGTATAGGATGCAGCGAAGATTCCAAAATAAATTGTACAAGGATTGCAAGTACTCAGAGGAAACATTTCATGGGGTAATCCAGAGCCATATTTTGATCATAGGTAATGCGTGACCATTGCGAAAAATCTCATCAGGAGAGTGGCAAGATGTGATCCAGTGCGGAACTCAGCAGGAATAGCACAGCGCCATCGACGTTAGTACATTCGGGGTTAAATGATAACTTGATCGTAGATTTTGTCATCCCGCCTATCATATTCCGAAACAGGTGCTTCCGCCCACTGAGAAGCCACAAATATGAGCAGCTTGCTCTGTTGGCAAGCTCCAGCGAGGAAGGGTACAACCGTACAAGTATCTAGTATCGCGCCAAAGGCTCATCCCCTCCGAGAACTCCACCTGCATGGATTGCATACGACATGTGTACTATGTATACTCCCTGGTAGGCTGGGGATTACCCACGTGGGTAATAAAAATTACCCACCCACCCAAGTTACCCATGCCCATGGTAAGAATTACACACGCTTCAAGAAATTGTATTTCATCAAATTTCACAAAACGACTAAACTTAGGTTTTGTTTTGAAATCTTTTCATTTTGGACCATAATACCATCTCGATGGTTTCATCTTCTCATAAGGTAAAGCGGCTGAAATGGCAAAAAGTACAGAGTACAGGCAGTGACTTGGTAGCTAGAGTCCGCCCCCCACTCGTATCCGACCGAACCGTTGATCTAGCTTAATGATGCATTGACTAGAAATTTTCCCCAGATCATGGGTAGGTGAAATACGTACACAGGCTTGGCTTGGCGGGTCATGAGTACCTAGCGAGCCTAGGCGCTGGGCTTTCCCTTTTTCACAGGTGAGTAGGTATGTACGTAGGTAGTGCCCAGCCTATGATAGTTCCCCATTTCCCCTGTTCCCCGGCATGTTTGTCGTATTTTAAATAGCGCAATAAAATCCACCAGAAGGCGGGGCCAGTTTGCTGACATGATATGACACAGGGGCAGTACATATGTAGTGTCGTACTCTTACCGAATTCGTAACCATGTAATGTGATATCTGGTTCGACCTGCGTCTTGATAGCAAGAATTAATGCAGTCGGTCGTTGGCTTGGCAGATTACTGTGTACACCGGGAGGCTGTCGCTGATGTCCACATTGTACCGGCCCGATACTATCGCGTCCCGGCATGTGGTACGATCCGAGCCGTGACCAAGGTAGCCTGGAAAGTGATCCCCGACCTACCGTACCTAGGTAGGTAGGTTTGTAACTTGTTAGGTGCCTAGACCCTGTTGCAAGTTCTATCTAATGTACAGTACTTCAAGATCTTGCCTTTGCTGGGATGTGCATGCACATTGCATGTTGGTAGTAAGTAGGTGCATAACGTGGTCGCGGGATAGGAGATGGTCCCTATTCGCTCGTACCTGGGTCCATATTCATCCTGGGAACCCCCTTGTGCCACTGCCACCAACATCACGTTTGCATACATTAATTATTTACTTATCCGCCTGTCGTAGCTTGAAATGCAACTCCTTGACTTCTCCCCCGTGCTTCAAGTGTGATGCCGAGTCTGGTTCGCAATACATTCCAGAGTTCTCACAATATATCCTTCAACTGTTTCATTATCAATTCCATTCACCATGGCCAAGGTGCGCCGGGCAGCCTCGGCACTTCCCTTTATTGGAATAGCTGCATGTTGCCTCGGTGCTATGGATACTCTGAAGCTTATCGCCCAGCAGCAACCATTTCTGGAGGCAGGGCACATAACTTGGGATGGCGGTCTGAAATCTATGCCCATCTTCGATAGTTTTTATAGAGTGGCTGCCTTGGATGAAATGTGGCGTGGCATCACTGTCACTTTCTCAGCCGCATACCTTCCTATGGATCCCGTTGGCTCGTGGCAGCTATTCTCCTTCCTGCACGACCTAGGACCAATGTATAGTGTCTGGCTCTTGGAGTCGTGCCGTGTCAGCAACACCTGGACGCCGATATACGCGTAAGTCTAACGGCTGAGCCCTACCTGATCTTAGCTGACAAGTCACCACTCAAGAGCTACTTTTTTCACATTTGTCGCGCAGCTTCTAGGTATTGGAAATATTGCACCAATTTACTATTTTCTTCACATCACCTTTGCTCCATCCGCACTGAGCCTGAAGCGTTATGCCAAAGAGCGAAGGCTTCAGACAGATCAGACGATGTACCTGCTTCCACTCTTCCTTGGTCTACACACATTCGAGGTGTGGCGAGCCTTTACTGCCCCAGAAGCCGAGACGCGTCAATACTGGGTCTGGGCTTGGCAAATGTCGCCCATGTGGATCGGTCTGGCCAATACCATACTCAGCAGTGTGACCGCTGGCCTAGCAGGCCTCAAGAGCAGCGCACTCGCGTCTCCACGACTTTTGATCGCAGTCATGTGTGGCATCTCAACCTCTATTTGGTTGCACACGCTCTACTCCGCGCCCTTTCCACTATCGGATATCTTCATTCCAGACTCTCAAATCCACATTGACTTCATTCGCCACACGCGTAAAGCTATGCAATGGGATCAGCTGTCCTCATTTGGCAGTTCTTTCTTATGGCTGATTTACTTATTTTTCGATCTCTATTCTGCGGAGTTGGTTGGCATGGATTATTTGCTGGGTGCTGCTCTCCTTCCGCTGGTGGCTATAGTCATTGGGCCTGCAAGCGCTTTTGTTATTGGATGGTACTGGCGAGAACAGATTCTATCTTCTGCCAAGACAGCATAGATGATGGTTTGCTCCTGTCTGAAAATGTGAATCTGCCATACTTCTGCACCTTGCCGCACAATTCTGCGTCATTGAACAACGCGCCGGGTTGTGAGGCGTTTTCAATGATAGCTCGTTTCGAGACAGTGTTGCCCAGACACAATACGGAGAATGCATCGAGTCCGCCCCAGTTTGACGAAGTCAGTGTGCCCTTCGCTGTTTCGGGCGAAAGAAAAACACGCCCGCTAATCGAAGAATCGCGACAGCTCACAGAAACAAGAAATGGCTCTTAAATATAATTGAATTAGTGTGGAAACGTTGGACCTTTCGCCAGCCGGCACAAACACTGTACATACGATCAGCGGAATCTACGTCGCTACGGCAAGTGAAGTCTTGAATCTAACCTATCCGATGAGACCCTTGTGATCTGAAAGAAACGGATTGGATGGGTACCAACATGGTTTGCTCCGTACAAAAGTGATTATAGTGAAAGCCAAGAAAATTTACATCTAATACTGCTCCATTTGCAAAAGCCGCCTTGCTTGCCGCTACGAACATCTAAGCACCTACATCCCTCACAATCTCGGCGACTTTGGCGAATGATAGCTCAACCCCTGTCTCCCTCCATAATTGATCCGAAATCTTTGCTCCCTCATCTGTGTAAATGATGGGAGGCATTCTGTGATAAAGCGTAATCAATACATGAAAGCAATTCTGTGAGTACAAGCAAAGGGAGCAGAGAGAAACTTACGGTACAATTTTCTGGAAAGACAAAAATTTTCCATGGACTTCGTCGTCTCTGTGTTGGACCGCCGCGTCCGTCACCATACGTGCACCTACCGCTGACGAATTCCCTACACGACGAAGAATCGCTCTAACAACCTTGCCCGATGGCAGCCTGTCGAATTCGCGATTGAATTGGGAGTCATAAATGGCGCCCGGGGAGGCAGCGTTGACAACAGCTACGGAAGAGGGTACCTTTTGGGCGAGAGTGTGGACAAAATAGTGGCCAAGGAGTTTCGAAACAAACATTCGATCGTTTGTATCATCGGCAAGCTTACCAGGTGCGTCGAGTGCTGCCAGAATGGGCACATCTTTGCCGACCGGGAAGCGCGCCCATGACGCCACCTCGGACAAGGTCAAGGTGATACGTGTTGGCTGTGGCTGATTCTGCCGTACACTTTTGGCCACGGGAAGAAGCAGAAGCTCCAGTAGGGCAGTAGAAATGTAGTTGACCTGGATAATTTCATCGTGGCCAGTTGATGTGCTGACGACACGCTTTGCGGGCACCATGCCTGCGTTGAGGACAACGATATCGAGCCGCGCCAGTTCATGCCGGGCACGCTCGGCAAAAGATACCACTGACGCATAGAGAGAGAGGTCGAGTTTCCACACCTCGATGGTCTCAGGTGGTGTCCCGTCGTCCCGATCAGCCAGTAACTCTTGGGCGGCAACACGACCTTTGTCCTCGTCACGCACAGCCAAAATCAATTTACTGATGCCTAGATCAAGCAGCTGGCGACTGACCTCGAGCCCCACGCCGCAGTTTGAACCCGTCACTATAGCCGTCTTGCCATGGAGGTCGATGTCGCTTACAACCTGTGGGGTGGCTGTGAGTTGGCGATAGAGGTAGCGAGGAAAGCTCGCCTGCTTCTCCGGGGTCACTTCGAATTGAGTGGCTGCCATAGCCAAGTTAGTTATTTCTACGTGTAACGTGTTGAGATGAACGAGGTTATGGTGAGTGAAGTGATTGATTAGTTGGTTGAGTATGTATCCATACGTATTTATGGGAGTGGAGAAAGGTGTATGTATATTATTTATAGCGGAGCATGACGCCCGAAAAGAAGGAGGCTGGGCTCCTATTGCAACATAACGGACATAACGGAACGGGGAGGCAGGGCAAAAGACAAGGCTGCAAAAGAAAATAAAAGATCTGTTGGTTTGGGAATATTCGTCAAACGGGAGCCGGAGGAAAAGAAAATGATCCAAGTCACTGTATGATATTCCTACGCCGCCACTTCGTTGTCGACTGCATGTGTTGCCGCTGATGCTGCATGTTGGGGCTGTTTGATGCAGAGTGAGAGTGGATCCAAATTGGATGTAGCCCAGCACAAGTGCGTTCCAACAGTTACAACCAATACCGTATCTTTCTGTCGCATTGACGTAAATACAAAGAATCCGATGGAAATCACTGCGCTGCGAATCAAGAACAGAGATGGAGGATCAGGCAACAGAAAGAAATGAATAGACCATAATGAATGTCGTTCATGGCCATCACCAACTGAGAAATCTGAGTAAGTGCAAGTGTATCCCTCACGTGATGCAAGAAACAGGGCCAAACTACCATCACATTACCTGACTTCCTGGGTCCCCCAGGCTAAATGCTGTAGAGAGTGATTGCTGACACCCAAGACGGGAATTGTAGACAAGGCGCACTTTACTTTAGTGTTACACTGCATTACCGAGACGCAGCCACTTCCTTCACTACATGTACGCACATGGCCAACGCTCATCACACCTTTAGTGAATTTGCTCTACGTATCACAACATGCGCATTGTTAAGGATTCCGTGGTGTATTGATGCGCCACAAGTGGCTGGAGCCTGGAGCTATCCGTGTACAGCCTCATAGAGGCTGTTTGTTATATGGGAAGGGGTTTGACTTCCAGTTATGCGCACGATTAACTTCTGTTTGAGAGAATCATCGTTAATCTTCTTCTTCATTTCTACGGAATGATCGTATTATAAATGTCCTGGCTGGTGGCACAAACATACCAGCCTCTGAGACGATGCGCAATTGGTTACAGTTTACTAATCCTTTCCGTTAATTATTTGTTCCTTTTGACAGGTTTATCCCTGGATCTCTTTAATGTCACAAATATTACTAGTCACTTCCTTATCACTTGTTTCGAAGTCATTGAGACTCTGTCTTCGTCTTGAATGCCTGAGTATAATGGACTGAGCATTGCTAGTAATACAAGCATCACCACTGCAAAAGTCTGATGGGGCACGGTGCCAGCTACAACAGCCGACACCCACACGGGACGATCAATGTTATTGCATCCAACCTATCATCACGCAAATAGGCGCCAAGAATCTACGAAGAATCTTTCGTCGATTCAATTGGAGAACACTTCACATTGGCGACGTCCTGACCGAAGAAGACAAAAGGATATGCGCCAATACAGGCCGTGGATCTCGCCCAAAATTGGAGTCGTGCTACATTGTGAGTTACATTGCATAATTTCATTTCTGGTCTCACAGCCTACTTCGCAAAGTCTACATCAGGCCCTCCATGACCACCCACATCGATTTCGCGTTCACTGATTCTCCAAGTTTTACTCTTTGATAGCCTTTTGAATAATTTTAGTATCCACACATGGCTCTCAGCATTCCAGAACAAAAGCGAGTGATCTCGCCGCCATGCATCATCTCTGTTTGGGCATTACTGAGTTTGCGAGCATCATCTACTCAAGTCTGCCCTTACGAAGGAGGTTACTCGCTTCGAGTCGATGCAGCCGTCTGCCCGTCCTTGGCACCTCAACTCTGTGGGAGTGGTGCACAACCACGATGTTGTCCGCAAGGTGTGGACTGTGGCGGTGTCGATCCCGAATTCGGCAATTGGTGCTGTCAGAGTGGATCAAACCGCAGTCAAGACGCAATGGACATGCCAAAGGTTTGTGTAAACTTTTCCTCAAGGCATGAATCGTGTTCGACGCCGCAGATGTGCTGCAACTACCGTTTTCTAGTGCTCTGACCCGGATTGGATACTTTACGGGAAAGGGGGCCTCGTCAACTCAGGCGCTTGGTGCTGTACTACCGGCTACAAAGGGCTCATACAAGAGGATAACGCTGTGGGATGCACAGCAGAAAGTCAAACTGTACTATCATCAGGATGGGCCTTTGCGCCCCTTGTTCAGACAATATCCTGCGTGTCTGCGACTGCCTCTGCGACTACCTCGATCTCCATTACGCAATCACAGACAGCGACAGCCTCACTGGCGACTGCATCATCCACGTCAGTTTCAAATTATCAGGGAAATTCTCAGCTCAAACCGGGCGAGATTGCCGGTGTTACGATTGGAGCAGTGGGCCTCCTGGCACTCATTGGCCTGGTTTTCGTCTTGTGGAAGAGGAAGCAGACACCGAAAACAATCAGTCCAGAGACAGCAGATCGATCAAAGTCACCGCAAACGGAGAATATAGCAGCCGGCACCTCTGATGCTCCCCCTGTATCTGTAGCGCCGCCAGAATTAGGGAGCGACCCGTTGCCACCTCGAGAATTGGGGAATGGAGAGCGCAGACCAGTGGCTCACGAGCTGCCGCACTCCAATCAATATTGAACAGTTGGTAGGATGTGCGGCGTATATCTTGTAAACCATCACCATATACACGCTCTACATATTGGTGCGTGATGAACCAAAATCTCGCATTTTGGTCGATTGAATTGAGTTGATAAGTCCCTGAATGGAGACCAGTTGACTGCCCGCATGACGGGCGTTTATTAAATTCGACAGCGTCGACATCACTTTTCAGAGCTTCATGTTTGAAAATGTGGAAGAGGAAAGAGGGAAATGGGAGTGGCTCATCGAAAGGTCAGTCTGGGGCCCGGCACCTGAGCATGGGGCCACGTAAACATGTGTATTTGTATCAATGAATTGAAAGAACTACTTGATCTCTTGGCAAGAGGGAAGACTTTATTTTGTTTTTCCTCCCTCACATGTTGGGTTGTTTTGCTCAACGATAGCGAAAATCTATCTTGTTGTGTGTTGGCCCGATTTATAGAAATGCTCTTGGTAGCTGGTGCGAGTTTCAGTCACTCATCAAACGCCAGTACTGAACATAACGAGTGATATCTCCCTCTCTGATTCCTGACTAGCGGTGTTGCAGAGGCCGTAAGACCAACAATCAGCAAGACGGATCAGCTCAGGCACAGGCCGAGCGAAATGCCCACCCTCCCTAGGCTTTGAGAGTTCTCCAGACGCTATCTATTGCCTGAACGACATCATCGGGTAGAGGCCCTTGAGCCACCGCTGCTACATTTTGCTTCACCTGGGGGAGTTTGCTTGCGCCAAAGATAATGAAATCATCGGCGGTGAGCTGAGAGTGGAAAGCCAGCCATCGCAGCGATGCATCCGTCTTGGAGATGCCGTATGGCTCTAGGGTGTTATCTAGGAAACGGATAACTTCGTGATGCTTTTCTGTATCGTACCGCCGGGCGTCGATCGACATGATATTCCCAGGCGCAAAGCGCGTTCCTTCGACTTGGCCTGACGTGAGTTTCCCATGCAGGAAGCCACTTGCGTTTGGGCTGTGTGCTACAAATGTGATATTGTGCTTGCGGACCAGGTCCATTGTCGCCCCTTCATGTCGGCGGTCAATGATGTTGTAGCAGCCTTGGAATACACTAGGCTTTACGTAACCCTCGCGCTCGCAGATTTCGATATACTCGGCGAGCATCTCGAGTGGATAATTACAAAGGCCGAGCTATAATGCGTTTGTGGTCAATTTAATTTCATCTCGAGGTAAATGTGATGCTTACCTTGTCGAAACGTCCTTTTCTATATTGTGCATCGAAACCTTTTGCCTGGTCTTTTAGGGGCGTTGTGACATCCGGGGCATGAGCGTAGTAGGTGCCAATACGCTGGCCGTCGCCCAATCTCAGGTCACTAATGCTGGTCTCGATGGAACTCTCAATCTTTGCGGGCTCAAGGGTACCCGCGAAACCTTTCATGCTGATCAGAACCTTGGTATCAATCGTGAATCCTAGCCCTGCCGCGCCCGTCTCTCCGATAAGACGCTGCGAGGCTCCGATGTCGGTTGGAGGATACAGGCCAGCCGTATCCAGGCGACTGATACCCAGCTCTTTCAGGACACCCAGGAGCTCTTTGACAGAATCCGCTCCAATGAACTCATTTCCGAGGCCGCCACATCCGAATATGAGCTGTGGTACAGCAAAGGATCCCATAGTTGCGAGGATATCAGCGTCGTGATATGACACCGATGTGGGCATACGCCAAAGGAATAGTTACGGGTGCTGGTGATTGCTTATCACGTTGGCCGAAACAAACAAGGGGAAGTAGTTGAAAGGGGCAGAGAATTTCCCAAGCTACAGACTTGGATGATTACGAATAGGTATATAGGTAAGCAGGTAAACCAGCCAAAAGAAATGTGACTGTTTGCTCCTTACACAGCGTGGGCCAAACAGCAAAGCAGGTTGGTACGGTGACAAGGATCCCCGCTGGCTGGCATAACGCAACAGAGACTTCCCCTGACCAGCCGGACCAACGCACCGACTCATTGTTTTCGACGAAAACTTTTCGTCTTCTCTGTAGGTTACAAGTAGTATCCTACCTAGAAGCACTGATATCACACATTCGCACGCACCTCGACCTCTCCCCGACAGCTACAGGCGCGCAAAGATGATATACACTTCAGCCAAGTGGCTTCATCCATCATGAAAAGATATACGGCGGTCGCAACCAACAGTCTTCGGCCGCTCCACTTTTCAGATTGATGGCCGGGCGACGGAAGCTCGGACCATGGCAAATACCGTGTGGAAAATCGGGCGCTTTCCAATGTGGGCAAGACCCGAAGCCAAGCCTCCCAGCCAATGCAATAGATCACTGCAACAGATATGCCCCAAGGACGGAAGCCTGTGGGTCTGGAACAAGGTCCGTCGCCGTTCATGATCGCGGAGAATCTGAATTGGGACGACCGGAACTCGGGACATGGGATTCCCCTGCAAGGCCGACCAAGGGCCGATCCCCTCCGTATCCAGCTTTTGCCGGCAATTCAACTTGAGAGGTAGCTTTAAAGAAAGGGTTCACAGGAATTGTATCGTCCGTCCTTGCAGACAGGTAATGCGTGCGTACTTACTTATTGGGAGAGAAGAGAACACGATCTAAGTACTATGACCTCGGACGAATTGGAATGGCCGAAAAGGCGTTTGGGTACCCCTTCACACATTGGCTCAGGTGAGATCTATTCTGTACTCTCGTCCGTTGCTATTGCATCCCTCCAATATAAGACCAAATATCAATCCTTAAATCATATATACCTAGCCATGACCTTCATCTGGAACTAATGCATTTTCCCTATAGACAATATTGTTTCAATATGGTTGTATTTTTGCAGTATCTTTAACACATACGACCACAGGCACCAGAGAACTCGGCATCCCGTCCGCTCTGCCCTAGATAAACTGGCGACCGCCGGATTAGTACTCAGATCGGTGACGGCTGGGGAATCCCCGGTGTTGTATGTTTTTGATTTTTTATTCTTGTTGCCCCCTTGATTTTCACTATTTGAATAACTTTTTAGGTATGACCAACGGCAACTGATGCTTCGTAATGGTGCATTCTAATTTTGGAAGCCCTTATGGGAGAGTCCATCTTTACATAGATATGAACAAACGATTGCAAAACAAAAGCCGCAGTAGTTCCCGTAGTATCCGTCCTAAATGACTCCGACAAATCCGCGGGGAGGTGACGAAGCAAATTTCTTGACCTTTGATCTTAGCACCTGACAATTTCACGTCAAGTCTGATTTGACCACCCTTGAGCTGTGTAAATATAGCTCTTTTGATAGAGCTCCCTACAAACTACATATGTACTACCAGTTGGAAACAATCGAAGATCCATGAACTTATAAGACAACTTGTCTACCTCAAGCCTTCTGCAGACGCGGATGAAACGAGAAGCACGGTGCCAGGCCATGCGGGGCGGCATATACCGAGCATGATTGTAACGGCGTGGATTATCTAGGTACCTTACTAATATAATAGAGAGTGTTTTCTAAGATGTAAACACATGAACCACTGCCTCCTTGGCGAGGCCATTGGCCAGGATTAGCAATTTTTAAGACGATAATCATTACTTCTACCAGGGTCTACCGTGGTTATACTGGCACTTTGGAGAGCTTTGGTGTCAAACGACTCATCCTCAACTGGCTTGACTAGGTATTCGTATAGATACGCAGCCGGGTTGTGTTGAGCCATGAGACCAATATGCAACCAGGAGTCCGGCAATTGCAAGGCTTGATGGAGACCAGAACAGCCACCATGTACTATCACGCCGCATGAATCTTATGTGAATAGGCATATGGGTATGGTACAATAGTTGTTGTTTTAGTTGAGTTGTTCACATCCAACAGTGGTTGGATGGTCAAAGATATATACATGTGTGGGGAAGCGCTCCATTATTCCTCCACTTTGACGTCTCGAAAGACTAGAAGGTATTGCATCTTATTCAGAAAGGTGCGAGACAATATACTTCACATTTCAATTATCAAACTGCCGCAGATACCACAAATCACCCGCTCGGATACATTCGATAGCTCTTCAAGGACTGCAAGCACACGTTGGCGAGCAGAACACCCGAGCTGCGGGCTCTCTCCGCCCTCGTCGTGGCACGAGCTTACTTTTTTTTCTTATCGTCGCTACGAGCTCTCTTCCTCTTCTTTACCAAGTCCTAGCGCCTAGCTGGGAACGCTGATCTGTCGTTATCGTCGTTTTTATTGGGTTTCTCTACTTCATGATGGTTTCGTATGGCTCGGGACGAGCCTTTTTGGAGAGGCGCGTATTGTCAGAGCGTTGCAGGACTGCGTAGGGGGTCCATGTGGGGGCATATAGATTCGTATATAAGGACGCTGGATCGCCGTACAGGTGGATCCAACGGCAGGCTTCAGTTGTTCTCTAATATACCGGTGCCCATCACTCCATCGTTGCAGTGATTCTTACACGCCCCTGGGAGTCCTGCGGTTGCGGCACCGTAATCTGGGCTGCCATCCCAGAACGACGTAGACGCATCTCACCGATCCACTCATTGCCGGGCCGAGAATCCGTCATCGCCAAGCTTTGCAAGTCATTAATACCCGGAGATATAATGCGAAACTCAACTAGGATAGAGAGCAATGAAGCATTCTGTGAATCGGCTGCGTGGACTCCATCGATGGGAGCGACCGGTTCGGGGGCTGGTGGGCGATTTCCAAAGACGAAGCGGTGCGCCTGACGAATGAGTGACACAAAAGGCTTTGCCAGAACCCCGACGACGAAGCAGAGCACGAAGATTGCGAGAGTGATAGTAACTCCCATGATCGGCAGATATCAAAAAAAAAAAAAAAAAAAAGATGTTCACAATCAGTTTTATGGGAAGACGCCATGGTCATAAAGAAGGATGAATGTCAAGTGGTTCTTATAAGTGTAGCAAGATCTACTTGACCTACAAGGTAGGTACACATACAGTAGAGGCGCATATTGCCGGGCGGTCTAGAACTCTAACTACTACATTGTGCTTACTTGAGTTTATGTTGCTGCCAGCCACTCACAGAACTATTACATTAAACCTGGCACAAAATGACCGCAGTAACAAAAAAGTCTCCATGTCGAAATGTGCCTTCCGATATCATGTTCGCCCTTTCCTCAACTCTCCCAATGACCTGTCGTACATGCTCTTCATAAATAAACAATAAAGCAGGAGCTATCTATGTGGCATACATGGTGTTGTTTTCGAGGGATTGGGTGGAAGAAATCCCCGAGCTCAAGGTTTGGAGTCTGAGCAACCAGATTCTCCATTTGTCCCATGTCGAGATGTTTTGCACTCTTGTTCTCGATGTCCTACAGATATGAAGATCACAATCGAGCAAGTCCAAGTATGCATCTATTCACCGGCGGAATATGAGAATGTTGATCGCAATGTTTTGCATTGCCGGGGCCAGTGTGGGCGAAGCGAGACGTCGCATGCTGCGGGTTGGCAAATCATCGTGACGGCGCATCATCAGTTCGGGTGCCGTCGTTCGCCAGAAGATTGGAATTGGAAAGCATTGGCACCACAACACAGGGAAAGATTTTGTATGTTACAACGAGACATGGCTATATACCCTTCTGGGGCTGTAATGCAAAGATGGCAGAAATCGAACTAATTGAGGAGATTCCTTCTACGGGAGGGATGTAGCGGGAGAGTTACAGCAACTGGCTGCACGTTTCTCTTGTACGCAAAGTCTTGTACAGCACCTAGCAAACTACCTAGGTATTCATTTCCTATAGATTGAATCAAATCGCTCGATAAAATAACAATATATTCCGCATCAAGTAAAAGAATCGGGCGCAATGTACGGAGTAGTATAGATACAGAGCATGGTGCGGTAAACACCGACATATACCGTGCCACGGGCAGCAAGGAAAACGACCCCGTTTCGCAAGGGGCTCTGGAGCAAGTGTAAATGTGATCCGTTGGCCTTTGAAAACAAGGGAGGATTAATTCGTTCTGGATGAAGATTATGGCTACGTATATATGATTTGAGGATTGACGTTTGGTTCTATGTTGGAGGGATGCAACAGCAACGGACGAGAGTACAGAATAGGTGTCGATATATCCATAACCACCAATGACCATTATGCTGGTTCCTAGTGTAGAGCTTTACATTTTATTCAGCTTCTTTTTCCTTCTCTTTTTTCTCTCTCTTTTTTTCTCTTTCTTTTTTCTTCTCTCTTTTTTCTTCTCTCTTTTTTCTTCTC